AAGTCTTAAATGTTCCAATGACAGCATCATTTCTTCTTAAAGGCCATCATTTTCAACAGTAACAACAATAATAATGACTTTATAAAATGCTTTGAAGTCTGCCAGGTGCATTATAGTCAACTGGCCTTCCCAACAGTCTTGTGAGGTAGTTATCCCAAATATTATTTTCTGTTTTAAAGATAGTGAAATGAAACTGAGGCACAGAGACACTAAGTGACTTTCTCATGGCCATGTTACGAGAGTCAAAAGCAGAACCTGAATCTTAGTCTCTTAGACTCCAAGTCTAGTGCTCACAGAAATGAAGAATTTAAGAAATGAAAAGGACATTCTAACCTTTTGCATCAACCTATCCCTGGAAAAGAATCCCTTCTACAACCATACCAAACAAGTGGTCATCCAGTCTTAGGCCTGACGATCTCCACAGATGGGGAACCTACCACCTCCCGAGGAAGTCCATTCCACTTTAGACAACTCTTGATTGTTAGGAAGGTTTTCCTGACATCAAGCCTAAATTTGCTTCTTTGCAACTTCTGTCTCTGTCTTTCTCTTGCTTCTTCCCTCTGAGGCCAACAGAACAAATCTAATCACTTCTCTATGTGATATTCCGCCAAACACTTGAAGACAGTTACCATTTTCTTCCTGAGTCTTTTTTTCTAATACGCCATGCTACCTCTCACTTGAGCAAAAAATGAAAGAATATTTTTTCATACTCAAATCACAGATTCATTTTCAACCCTTTGTGGAAAAACCAATATTCATGAAGTAGGTTTTATTTCTAGTTTAATCACCCATTGGACAATGCCACAACTTGGGACATTCACACAAATTTCTGCTGTCTCACCTATGTCTTTGGCTCTCGAAGCTAAAGGTCGCCTCCACTGTGTCACAAATTTGTATGCATCCAGTCGGATTTCAATAATGTTGTTCAGTAAGGCCAGGAGTGGTGCCAAGGGGAAGGCTGCGACAAAGATAGTGGTGAAGCCAAACTGAAGAACTAGAAAAGGGAATGGAAAAAGATCACAACATCGTAGGTTTTTCAACCCTTCCTTGCAGAAGGCTCCTGGCTACCAGATACTATTAGAGCTGTCATTGTTCTCAATGTGAGAACAGAGGGGAGAGCTTTTCCCAGTGGGTAATTTAATAAGCATTTGTTAAGCACCTACTGTGTGCAAGGACCAGTGCTGGGGATAAAAACAAAACAAAACAAAAATGAAACCTTTTCTGCCCTCATGCAGTTTACATTCTATGGAACAGTATAATTTCAGGTGATATATAGAAATAGATATTTGAACTACAGATCCTGAAGCTAAAACAACTAGGTTAGAGATTTGGGGGGAAGGATAGCTAAGCTCATCTTTTTTCTTTTTTAGTCATCAAGATAACAGACTAGTTGTTGGAATGACCTTTCCCTTTCTACTTGTTTGTTTCACTTTTAGGCCTTCCCAGTAATCCAGTTGTGATTAAACAATGATTAATAAGAAGTAGCTAATGTACCAGCTGGAAAGAAAGTTGGGGGGGTATCTATTTTTCACAATGAGAACATGAATATTGTTCAACATAAATGGGAGAAAAGGCTTTTTGGAAAATAAAGGCCCATGGAAGGCATGTCTCCATGACAACAACAGTTCCCTGAAAGATGGAAGAATATAGTTAGTTAACTGGTTGTTTTTGGTCTACATGACACCAAAGAATGGCTCGATGGAGATGTTTCCAAAACCAAATACTAGTGAGCCATCTGAATTCACTACACTCATCCAACTGTTTTAGTGTAGTATAGACAATTCAGTTTAACAAACATTTACTGAGTCTCAAAGGCACTGTGCTAAATATGGGGAATGGAAAGATGAATAAACATGAGGCCTGATCTCAAGGAGCTTACAAATGGAGTTACAGGATATCATATGGACACCAATAGCTGCAATTTCTATTTACTAATATGACCAAGAGAAATCCACCTTAAGTGCTATGAGAAATTTGAGAAGGAAATAGTTACTTCCAGTGTAAAGGATCAGAGGACCTTCCTGGACCTTGAAGAAAAGAAAGGATTTCAACCAGTAAGGATTCAGGAGGGAAAGAAGGAAAGGTAGATAGTTTCTTCTGTGCATTGCAAATGACATGAACAAATGCATGGGCTTAGGAGAAGGCAAGAAGCATGAGGAGTGATGAGTGGTCCAATCTGACTGGCCTGTAAAGTATGTGAAGAAGAGTAATGGGAGATCAGGCTGGAAAGTTGGGTTGGAACCAGATTGTGGAGAGCCTTGGATGATATACTAAGGGTTGTATTTTGTAATGTGTGAGGAAATGGGGAGCCATTGAAGATTTCTCAACAGTGGGGTGATATAGTCAGCTATGCATTAGAAACCTAAGTTAGATAGCAATGTGAAGAATGGTTTAGAGATGGGAAGAAGATAGCTTGGGTATGGGAACACCAGTTAGGAGGCTGTATAACAAAAGTCCAGGAAAGAGGATGAGACTCTAAGCTGGGTAGTGACACTGGAGATGGAATGGAGAAGACAGATAAATATGACAGAAGGAAGACGTGCAGGGATCTGGTGAATCAGAGAAGACTCCAAGAAATCCAGTCAGGATAACAAGGAGGAGGATGGTGCCATTAACATGAATAGAGAGATCAGAGAGAGGCAGATGTGCAAGGTAAGGTAGTCAGTGGAGTTTCAGGTGCCAGCAGGCCATCAAGGTAAAGATAGTCAAACAAGCACCATTTATTAAATACTTCCTTTTGGAAGGCACCAAGGTAACGGTTGGGGATAGAAGTAAAGGAGAAACCTGCCCTCAAGGAGCTTATATCCTAACGGCGGAAACAACAAGTAAACATAGGAGTATAGAGGGTATGTGCAAAATGAAGACACGATTACATTCACATAAACAGTTTCAGAGTTAGGAGATTTCTGCGGCCGTGTAGTCCTACTCACACTTGAAAAAGAACATTCCATAAAATGTACCTGACAAGTCGTCCAGCTTTGGCCACAACACTTCCAATGGGGGAAAATCACTACTTTCTAATGTAGCCCATTCCATTTCTAGGACCCTCTAATCTTGGCAGTTTTTTCTTTCATCAAACCTTGGATTTACTTCTTTGCAACTCTAACTCCTTGCTACTTGTTCTGCCTAACAAATCTGATCCCTCTTCTGATGACAGCCCTTCAAAGTCTTGAATGATTTGCCTTCCTCCTTCTCTTCCCCCCAAAACTTCTCTTCTTAATGGGAAATTAGATCATAGATTGAGAGCTGGGACCTTAGAGATCATGTCCAACTCTTTCAATTTACAGATAAGGAAACTGAGGCCCAGAAAAATTAATGGCTTGCCTAAGGTGACCTACTAACTGGCAGAGCCAGGATTCTGTGTCCCTGAGTTTAGTGTTTCTCCCACTGCACCATGCGGCTGGCCCATTCTTGGTGTCTTTGACTAATTCTTATACTGCGTGGACCTGAAGCCTTTCAGTTTCCTGGGTGCTTTCCATGTCGAAGTCCTTTCTAAAACGTAGCACCCAGAATGGAGTAGCTCCTTTCACCAAAACTCACAGTTTTGGTTTCTAGTCCTCTTATGATTGAAGTTTGCTTCTTCCAGATAATCTAGTTTGTCAGTGTCCTCCTTAAAATGTCACCTAGAACCAAGCATAATACTCTGAGTGTGTTCTGACACCCAGATTATCACTTTTCTGTCCTTGACATTATACTTTCATTTTGGTTCGAAATTGAGTTTTTGCTAATAACTTGAAATTAATTATATGAACTATGTAGGAGTTAATATTTTAGAGAAAGCTTTAATTACACATGGGCTTAATGCATAAAAGGATAAAACTAGAAAGCTCTAAAATTGTAATTTGGCCAGATGTAGGGAGGTCTCTGTTGCACACTGAGTGACATTTCATCTAACTGGCCTATTTGTCCTGCCATATTTTTTGAAGGAATATAATGAACTTTTATGAAATTTGGGACAGTTGATCTATATTATATTACATGAGAAGTGGGATTTATATTTCTGTCAACCAATTTGAAACAACATGATAACCAAGAAGTTTTTCAAATGGGCAGAAACTTCTATAGTTTTTACTACATTTCCATGAAATCTGGTACTTTGAGAGAAGCTACAGATATAGACTTACAGAAATAAAATTTGACTTGAAAGGGACTTTAGAGGCTTCTAGTCCAACATCTTCATTTTATAGATAAGGAAACTGAAACTCAGAAAAATTAAGTGACTTGCCCATGGTCACACAGCTAGTAAGTGTCTGATGCCAGATTGGAACTCGTGAAGACGAGTCTTCCTGACTCCAGGCCCAGCTCTCTTACGCATTACACCATCTGGCTGCCCCCAAGTATCCTGGCACTACTTAGCAGACCATTTAGTTCCTTCCCCTTTCAGACTGTAAGTTCGGAAAGATCAGCAGCTATGTTTTATCTGACCTCGTTTCTCTCCCAGTGTAGAGTAGGTGCTTAATGACTGCTGAAGAATGAGTGGTTGAAGAGATAATTGCAAAATGAACAAATGTAGTTAGAATGTATCCACAGTGCTTCTTTGAGTCACCTAAGATGCAAAGATATTATGGGAAACTTCATGGACACATGTTTAATAAAAGTTATTTCAATGATGTCAGAAGTCCCTCTTTCAGTGCAGGTTGTCAACTTAAAGTCCCAGAAAGTTGTCATTCACTGGCTCACTGTCACCTACTGGCTCACTCAGCCAGTAGGTGTCGGAGGCAGGACTAGAAGCCAGGTCTTCTGGCTGAGGCCAGCTATCACTCTGCTCTGCCATACTGCCTCTCTGACATACTATATAAATGTAGAAAGGATTCAGGTTGGGTCTGCACTGGACTGCAGTGGACAGATGAAACCAAGAATATAAAATAATAAAAGTAACTTGGTTGCTTGAGATCCATCTACATGGTACACCTCCATTATGGGAAGAGAAATAATTCCTTCCCTACTTCTGCTATGGGAATCTCCCTTTAGGAAATAAGGTAGATTCTTTTTTCAGGGGTAGAAGAAGAGGAAGGGTGCTGTCAGCACAGCTGTCTATTATATAAATACTATCAACATCCCTTTAGTGCTTAGAATTTAAAATTAGAAGATGACATGTACAGTGGCAAACTGACTGTTCCCAGTAATTACTTTTTCTTCCTCAGTGTCTTCAGAAATTCCAGGCATGCTGTTTGCTACCTCCCAGCTCACACTCCACATCAGATGCCCTGAATCTCCTGAGGATGGCTCCACTCAGAGTTCAACTCATTGACTGGTGAGCCCTTGCCTGCAACCACCATATCCTAAGTCCCAGACATGCCGCCACTTACCTTCTGGCCTCCTCTCCACACCAGCTGCTTTGCCCTGACTTGGGTACCCTCTTTCCCCCTCTCCCACATGCTTTCCAGCTCCCTTCATGTGTTGTCTCCCCCATTAGAATGAAAAATATTTGAGAGATCATCTTGCTTCCATGTCCGTGTGTTCGCAGGCTTAACACAATGCCTGGCAAATTGTAAGCACTCTTCCTTTCTTTCTTTTTCTCTCTCTTTCTTTCCTTTTTTTCTTTTTCTTCTTTCTCTTCCTTTCCTCCTTCCCTTCCTTTCCTTTTTATCCTTCCTTCCCAGCTTCTTTCCTCACATCCATCCATCCATCCATCTATCCATCTATATCTATTATTTATTGGGGAAGAAGAAACAGTGCCGCAGTGCCTTCAAATGAGTTTGTTCTATTAGTAAACTGCATTAATTAAATTCTGCATTAATGTTCAATTTGATTTCAACTTAATGTTACATCATCCAGGCATCTTGCACCTGAAATTCCAAAAACATCAGCATATATTTGGTGCATAAGCCATCCAAAAACCATAGTACATATCACTTGGACTTTACTAGTGTCCAAAAAGACTTAGTTGTGTTTTTTTTTTTAAATAGAAAAAGTATCCTAATGGGGGAAAACTTTTAAGGACGCATTCTGAATTTAGTCTCTTAGAGAATAGTTCCTTTTAAATGTAAGATGAGTCTAGTTTTTCTTGGGCCGATAAGGAGAATTCATTTTGACTTGGTTTGCTATCTTTTGATAACTCATTTCTGTTCACCAGTGACTTTGAAAGATAAGAACATTGTACTCATTCTGGAACACTTTGATACCTGTCCATTTGCTGTCAAAAACAAATTTAATAGATTTTTACCCCTTTGTGTTGAATTGTGTGCTCTTTTTGCTACAGTGAAGACATAGCGTTTCTTAAAGTAATAATCCTAGCGATCTGGAGCTGCAAAGTACCTCGGAGACTACCAGTTCAAATCCCTCATTTTACAGATGAGGAAACTGAGGCCCAGGAAAGGGAAGCAGTCTGTCCAAGTTCATTGGGGTGAGAGTGGGCTCAGGTCCTCTGCCTCTAGAAGGCAGTGCTCCTTCCTCTGTGCCATCTGGGGTGTGCATCATTAGAAGCTCCTTGAGAACAAGGGCCATGGCTTATCCAGTTTGGTATCCCCGGCAGCACTTAGGATGGTGCCCTGCACACAGTAGGTGTGTGTTTGTTTGTTTTTTTGCCATACTACCAGTCAAACATCTTTCTAATAAGAGGAGTAGATTTAGGTAAGAACATCTCAGGGCTAAAATTTACATTTTAAAAAATAGGCAAAAGAAATTGTCCATACTCATTTCTAGGTATTCATCAAAGAGCCCATAAGCATTCATGGGCTGCAGGTTATAGTCCCTTTCCCATTGTGGGAAACTGGTTTTTCTCTGTGTGCCTTGCTCTTGACGGACTTTTCTCCTCGTCCACCAGTTCTGAATTAACCTGCATGACAAAAAAATCAATTTGGGAAAAAAAATTTGTATTTATAAACGACTTTCCAGGGCCCACAGGAGTCAGTCACCATATGCAAACACAGTAAAAGAAGAAAAGAAAGACTGAAGAGCATGCTTGAGACAAGGGAAGGAGGACTTGGGCTTTGGGGCCATGGTGCTGGTGACACCAGTGTACAACAAGGAGTCCACGGAGGCCGCTCGCCGTCCTTGACAAGATGCTTTGGGTACATCATCTCAGAGCTTCACCACAACCCTGGGACATAATTCCAACCAGTAGACCTGATATTCCTTTCACTGGCAGATGGAACCCTGAGGCAGTCGTGGGTGCAATACAGAGAGTGCTGGGCCTGGAGTCAGGGAGACCTGAGTTCAGATTTGGCCTCAGACACCAATTAGCTCTGTGACCCCGGGCTGGTCACTTAACCTAACTCAGCCTTAGTTTTCTCATCTCTAAAATGGGGATAATAATAGCACCTACTTCCCAGGGTTGTTGTGAGGATAATATTTGCAAAGAACTTTGTGAATCTTAAAAGGCTATATAAATGCTAGTTATTGTTTTTATTATTACTCTTAATTTTACCACTGCAGATCCTCACCTATTCTGCAACTTAATATCTTAGGGCATCATCGTCACCTCCCAGGTAACACTTGTGTTGTGGAATTATCTGGTATGTTTATCTGTACCTGCCAAGTCTCCTGTTGCACTCCCTAAGGGCAAAAACACCGCCCTCTTAAAGATGAGAAAACTGGCCCCGAAGAGGTGTTGTCTTGCCCATAAGTGGCTGATCCAGAGCCTGAGCCCAGCCCTTCGGACTCCAAAGCTAGGCCATATTCATGTTCCATTAGCCCACGAATGCTGCAGGCCACCAGACCAGTGGGGAGCACTAACCGTGGCCCCTTGGCTGCCCTTCACATTTTGGATTTGTGAGTGCTGAGCCTACTGGAGTCCTTCCTCACATTTTATCATTCCTAGTCTTTGTTGCTGCATGATGGCCATGGGCTGTCTAATGGAGAAGGAAGTGTGTGTGGAGAACGTCCACCATTAGGTCAGCAAGGTAGTGCGGTGGATAGAGTGCTGGGTCCTGGAGTCAGGAAGACCCGAGTTCAGATGTGTGACCCTTGGCAAGTCACTTCACCTCTGTTTGCCTCAGTTTCCTCATCTGTAAAATGGGAATAATAGCACCTATGTTGTAGGGTTGTTGGAAGGGTCAAATGAGATGATAAGTGTAAAGCTCTTTGCACAGAACCTGGCACATAGTAGGCTCCATATGAATGTTAGCCGTCATCGTGGTCATCTCTCCCATTATTAGCTCAGTGTCTGCATCATCTAGCTTAAGCCACTTAACTAAGGTGTCAGGGTCAGCTTTATCCCTGAAGCTGCAAGACACAAAGAAAGAAAAATAGAGGGTATGGAATCAGTGCTTCACCTGGGGGAAGCTTAGCAGAGGAAGAGGGTGGGATGACTGCATGGGCTGGATGGAGAATGGTGGGGAAGGGAAACACTGAGGCAGGTGGAGGGCTGGCAAAAATAAGAAACTGGGAGCATGAAAAAAAAAGGCCCTCGAATTCACTGACTTTGTAGTAGACCTCAGGCTAGGACAGTTAGTCTGGGACTCCTGACTTCTGTGACATTCTTGAATTATTTGTAGTTTGAACAGACTTTCCATGAGGAGTTTTTTAATTGAGAAAATATTATTATGGTTAGTAATTTAAAAGAGACGACCTTGTTTTTGACCTTTTCTCTTCCGGTACCTTAAGAAACTGGAGAAGGTAAAGCAAAGGCTTATCACACGGGACTTGGGAGGTAGAAATGAAGATACCAAACCACTTTCTGATGCAAGAGCTGCTGAGGAGGTGGGGGTGACTTTCTAAGCTCATTGTTGCTGTTAGTGGCCTCAGCATGGGAGGAAAGAGGAGAAGGCCAGGGGTATGATAACATCATCTTAATCGTTACGGAATGTCCTAATAAAGACCCACAACACAAGCCAACAGGAGTGGGGGAAAAACAGGAAGAGACAAAGCATTGCAGATTTAGATCCCCCTGGAAATTAACTGTCTAAAACTGCAGACAGAGCCAAATTAAAAGGTTTTATTTATTTAATTTTAACAAAGAAAGAGCTCACGATAAAATAGAATTGTGTGTGTGCGCCATCATAGACTTGCATTATTTCCACTTGGAGATCATTTTATTATTAGTTAAAATCAGTGAGCTGTTCAAAGGACATCTTCTGGGTCTGTTTTTTGTTTTGTTTTTCCTATTCCTTGAACTCTTCCTCACCCCCATGGGCTCAGAGGATTGTAGACCCAGAGTTAGAAAGGACTTCATAGGCCTTTTGTCCCGACCCTCTTATTTTACCAATGAGGAAACTGAGGCGTAGAGCATATAAATGATTTGCCCAGGGTCACACGGGCAACGTACATCAGAGGTGAGATCTGAACCCTGGTCATCTGCTGTGTTATAGAATGACCGTCTTTCCATCTCCTCCTAAACAGCTGCAGGAAGCGCACAATGCACAGTCTTTCTGCTGTGAAGGTCATGATCAAGCCTGGGTGTAGAATGGATGGGGGCGGGGTGGGGGGAGGGCCAATGTGGGAGCTCAGAAGTGCTTCGCTTAAAGGTTCTTCGCAGGTTAAGCACCAATTTTACCAATCTCTTTGTTATTTAGAAAAATCAAAGGATAAAAGGCAGTGTGTTATGATGTAGAGTGTTGGCTTTGATGTCGCAGGGCAGTGCTTAGCATAAAGTAGGTGATTAATAAATAAATGTCTGTTGCCCGCTCTGAATATCCATTTCCTCATCAAGGAAGCGTAACAGACCAGATGACCTCTGAGGTCCCGTGCATCTCTAAATCTATGGTCCTAATGATGGCGGACACGTACGGCGCTTGGGTGTTCATAAAATACTCTAGTACATTCTCCGCTTGGGCCCTTCCTGCCCCTGGAATCCTGTGGTGTAGTCTCAGCCCTGTTTTCCAGATGCAAACACTGAGGCTCAGAAAGGCTCAGTGCCTCTTCCATCATCATATGGCTAGTGTGGGTCAGAAGCAGAATCATGGATTTTGAGCTGGAAGGAATGGTGGAGGCCGCTTAATTCACTCCCCTCACTTTTACATGTGAAGAAACTGAGCCCCAGACGAGTGAAGTGGTTTGCCCAAGGTCACAAGGTGGTGAATGGCGGAGCCAAGATTCAAACCCAGGTCTCTCCTGGCTCTAAGGATGGCTCTCTTTGCACTGTATCACCGTGTCTCTTGCCATCGCTCTGGCTGGTGGCTGCTACTGAGTCTTCTAAAACAGGCCCTCCCTTCCAGAATCCCAGGAAGCACTTAGAGATGTGCTCTGCCCCAATGGCCAGCTGCCCCCGGGCCCTCTCCTGGGCCATTCACGCGGGGCAGTGGGCCCTAAGACCAGGATGTCTCTCGTACTTACGGGTAGCCAAGCTCCATGAAATTGTTCCATGTCTGCTTTAGCACCATGATGATTCCCATTTGCATACAGAGATCAATAAGGCATCCGCTAGGGTGGCACTGCAATGGAGGCAAGCATGCAATCCCATTAGATTGTAAGTTCCTTGAGGGCAGGGCCTGTCTTTTGCCTCTTTTTTATATCCCCAGTGCTTAGCGCAGTGCCTGACACCTAGTTTACTTTTGTTTTTAGTCATGTTCAACTCTCTGTTACCCCATCTTGGGGTAGTTATTGGCAAAGTTACTGGAGTGGTTTGCCATTTCCTTCACCAGCTTATTTTACAGATGAGGAAATGGAGGCAAACTGGGTTAAGTGACTTGACCAAGGTCACACATCTAATAAGTTTCTGAGGCCGGATTTGAATTCATGAGGATGAATTCTCCTGACTCCAGGCCTAGTGCTCTATCTGCTGTGCCACTGAGCTGCCCTTGGCCCGCGACAGGCACTTGATGAATGTTTATTGAATGACTAAGGAGAGGAGAACCAAATCTGTTCCCTTCCTCCCTCCCTTCTTCCTGGACCTCCTCAGCTTCTCACAACCCTTGTAGGGGAAGAAGGCTATACTTATATGTCCTCTCTCCTCTTTGATTGTACCCTTGGTCAAATGCCCAGATTAGAGAAGTAGGGCTTATTATGGGCTGGGGAACTGGAGTTGTAAGTATATAAATGCAAATATATACACACATAACCAATACATTTTCTCTATATAAAAATCCTATATATACAGATACATACATGTATACATGAATGATTAGGTTATTATATGAATAATTAAATTAGCATCCTCTTTACTTTTCCCCCCTATCTTGCCCCACTGAATTTGCCTCTGGCATAAGAATTCCCAGTTACAATTCTGCCCAAATCAAGGACTTTGGTTTACCCTTTCCTTTCTTCCCCGCCCCCCCAGTGTTACTTATTGGAAGGCTGTGGGAAGTCGGGCACCCCAAAGAGAATACAGACCTCTTCTAGTCTCCACCTGTTTATCAGCCTCAGATAGGCACCTGGGTGTCCTGTAAACCTTCAACACAAGAGACCACATTAATACGCAGCACACAATTCATGCTTGACGTAGTCTCTAGCTCCTCTTTCAAAATAAATCCCTGAAAAGGATGGCGCCACATCAAAGACAGCTAGCTAAGCCCTGTCTTTTTCAGGAATAAGAGCAACCTTTGGGGAGTCACTGCCACATCCTAGAACTTTCACAGCGTTTCGTCTTGTTGCCCATAGGCAGAGACCAGTTCTCCCCTTTTGTTCCAATGTAACATTCACTATTTAGCATTTGATATAATAGCAAAGGCTAGGCAAAAGTGCAGGGTCTCCTGACTACAAATGTGCTTGGAACTTGGATGGGGCGTGTGTGCCTATGCCTTACAAGCACAGGCTGGGCCTTTCCCCTTAGGACAGTGTTACCTCTACTAAGCATGCGGGTGCTACTGACCCCCTGGAAGAAGCATTTTTATAAACTGAGTCTTGTATATGATACAATTTTTGTACTTCCTTGAACTGGCTTTTGGTGGCAATGTCAATCACTCCTGGGAAATTAAACAATTTGGCTAGAATTCCACGCTGGTTAAGCCGATAACTGGAGAGCTAATACAAATCACATCATTATCTACCCCTGGCATCCTCCCTCATCCTTCTTTACTGCCTTGTCCCTTCCTTGTTTCTCATAGCAGGCTCTGGTTGATGGGTTCATGAGTCCGGTGGGTCTGGGCACTTCTCAAGCTGGGAGGGAAGGTCATTTGGTAGCTTCTGTCAGGCCCATTCACTGTGACTCAGTTTCTCCTGATGTCAAATCTGCCTTGTGATTTCTCCTGTTCTTTTAGTTTTGGAGATTTACACTCCTCCTTTTGTGAAGAACCCTGACGTTGGCCTCAGACCCAAGTAGCCGATTTCACTGAGTGGACAGGACATGGGTGGTTTAAAGATCTGCTGTTCACAAATGAAAGTGAAGTGACCTCTGCTTATATTAGGCAGAAAAGCCGTAAGTGGAAGTTTTAGAATTTTGAGAGGAGATAGAGGGGGTGTCCTTGATTATGGGGGGGTTGGGAGGATGGGGTAAAGATCCTTTTTCCATTCTTTTAACAGGCCAAAGCAAGGTTAAGATGGCAGCTGCTCAACCTAATTCCGGCACTGGGCACTGTTGTATCATACCAGTTGCCTTAATGGGCTTCATTTCTTTTGTAATTAACCCATGGTCCTTCCTGAGAAGGACAGTTTCCTAATTTCTCTTCCTTTCCCGTCCTTTCTATATAACTAATTTCTAGGACTTTTTTATCCTTCCCCAATCCCAAAGGCATAAAGCCCTGATGTATTCATGAAAGGATCTTTCCAGTGATCTCTGACCTCAGGCCAGGAAGCAAGGGGATGAGGCAACTGACTGTTAATGATGGACCCAAGGTCAGGCAGGGAGTGTCAGAGGAGGGACTGGAACCTAGGCCTTTGACTTCAGAACCAGAGCCCCTTCTATTTTGACCACGCCGCCTTCTCCCTCTGTTTCTGGGTGTCCTCTCTGTTGCACCCTGTTATAAAAAGGCTTTAGGAGCTACAGATTTCCCCCAGAATTCTGGTGCCAAGTTTTGCAGTAAAACTGTGGTGTGCTTAAATAGGAGCAGTTTGGGTTTTCTTCTCCAAGAACCCTGGATGCCAGGACAGCTCCTTGGGCCCCAGACCTCCCCCCTGTACAGAAATGTCACCCGTGCCCCGACTACCCAGAGGGGGGTGTCTCAGCTCAGCCATGTGCCCATTCTCTGCTCTCTACAAAGGAGGAGATGCACGGATCCAAGTCCTTACCTGCCAAGGAAAAATGCGATGTAAAAGGTAGAGCTGTTCAGATTGACAAACTGAAAAAGAAACATTTTCAAAGTGAAGCTGTTCTCCCACTCAGACTCGGTGCGAGGCTGCTCTGTGGACAAAGAGGGAGCAGACGTTGAGAGCCTTCATCCGGCCCTACAGCTTCCTTAGCTGGGCCTGCTGACCAGCACCTCCCTCGCAAAGGTCCCACCACACTGCCCTTCTGGCGCAGACCCACGAAGCCCATTCGAAATTAACTGCTGACTGGGAGAAACAATACAAATGCAGATGAAGAAGAAACCTTATTAACCCATCAAAGACTTAGCAGAGTAATCTTAAAAAGTTGTCTAAGGCATAGAGGGATCCTTTCATTTTTGTACCATCTCTCCCAGACCTTGGACAGGCAATTAATAAATGCTTACTGGTTGACTGTAGGAGAGGTTGAGGAGCTTGACCTGGGCCACCTGGCTAGTCAGCGTCAGAGGGGTGATTTGAACCCAGGTCTCCTTGATTCCTAGCCCAGCCCCCTATTCACTTTGCCATAGCTGCCATTTGCAGTGTTGATATTCAGATTCTGTTGTCTCTGTTGTCTGAAAAGCTGTCTAGCTCAGTGTGAGTTACTTGTCCTCTGCTTAACTTCTGGCCGAGGGTCTTTCTGGGTCACCGCCACTCTCTAAAGGCCACCTCCTAAGTTTGGGGTATTTGTGTGTGTGAGAGTGTGGAACCTGAGTTGGTGGAGTAATTGCCAAGTGACAGAATGGCAGGTTCCCCTAGTGTTGAAGTCAAGGTAAAAAGTGCTGGGAGAGCAGCGTAGGTCCTTCCCTGGGGTCCCGGGTTAACCTTACCCTTCATCCCTGAAATGTCATGGAGTAGACATCCTTTTCTTTTGTCTTTTGTCCAGTGGTGTGTTGATAAATGTTTAACAACCAGCTCTCCCCCCAAAGGTATGTAAATGTATTCTTCATTTTTAACATTTTCTCTGTCACATGAGGGTAGACAAGAAGCAGAATAATAAGTCAAGTTCCAGTTGGTAGAGTTTGCCAATTTCTGAGGTGTAAGTAAGTGCTCACACAGTAGATTCAATAATCAGCTGGTTCTGGCACATTCCTGCTTTTTGTCCTTGGGAGATTGTAAACTCCTTGTAGCCAAGAACTGTATCTTATTTGTCAGTTAGGAGGAGCAGTGAATGGACCGCCTGACTTAGAATCAGCAAGCCTTGATTTCAAATTCCGCCTCAGGTATTTGCTAGGTAGGAGAATCTGGGCAGGTTACCTAACCTCTCAGTGCCTCAGTTCCTCATCTGTAAAATGGGGGCAGGTGAACTAGATGGCTTCCTAAGGTCCCATCTAGCTCAAAATCTACGATCCTATGATTGTTCCTGGCCCCTAACCCAGTTTCTCCTAATAATCAAGACTAAGTGCTACGATAAAAAGACAGGGGCAGATTTGCCATCTACCCAATCCCTCAATCTCTTTGACATTCGGGCCTTTTCTGTTCCCAGTCTCTGGATTCAGGCTTCTGCCTCTTGAGTTTTTGTCTCTGATGCTAGGAATGTGTTCCTTCCTTACCTCTCTCTTACATTCCCTTGCTTCCTTAGAAACTCACTTCATGTACCACCTCCTCCAGGAAGCCTTCCCCGATCCCCACCAGTCATTAGGGCTTTCTCTCTGCTCTAAGTGTGTTTCTGCTATATTTCCCCCACCCCAGTAAATATGAGCTCCCTGAGGGCAGGGCTACTTTGGTTTCTGTCTTTGTATCCCCAGTGCCTGGTACATTGTCTACCCTAGAATATAGAAAGTAGTTGATAAATGCTTGATGTTTGGGATTCTCTTCTCCCTACTGCACATTCCACCCCCATGGCTGGGTCCCCAGGAGAAGAGCTGGTCTCACATCAAGTGTTAACCCTGTGTTCCAGGCTCCTAAGCCAGACAGGGACCTTGTCCTCTTAAATTGCCTTGAGTTCTATGGCTGTAAAATACATTTTGAAGGATGTATCGGCTGCCTCATATTCTGCCTCCAAACGAAAAGTGCAGTGATAGTTTCACCTATCCCTAATTGCATTCTCAACTCAAGTACTTGTCAAAAAAAAATGCTACATTTAATGAAAAAAAGTTTTTTTTTCTCCTTTCCCCCAGTTTCTGAAGCTTGGAACAGTTTAACTCAGTATTTCATTTCTGTATCAATTTTTCAGTAGGAAAATCCAAAATGTTTCCTGGAAAGCCGTCAGAAAGAGGAGAGGAAAGAGAATCATTTTGTTTTAAAATGGTCTAAGAAGTTGGGTTTTACAATAGGGCCAGGTTGCTATTGAGAGGATATAATAATGGCTCTATCACTAGTCCTGGGCCCAGATTTTACCTCTGTTGTCTCATAGTCAATCAGCTAATGCACATTAATTAAACATCTACTATATGTGTGTATATGTGAGCATGGGTTGTTGTTGTTTGTCTTTCATTCTTGAAGAGACCATGGCATCAGGAAGACAATGCCATGACTTACAAGCAAATTGGATTTAAGTGAGGGAGGGCTGTACAAAATCACCAGCCTCACTTTCTCCTCTGGAGTCATCTGGGTCCAGTGGCAAGATATAGATCAGGATGACTGGAGGGGGCCCAGGGTGCACAAGTGTATGTATATATGTATATGTGTATATACATGTTATACAAATATATGTATGAGTATACATACATACATTCATACATATACATTTACATTTACATATACATACACGTCTGGCCTGGAGTCAGGAAGACTCATCTTCCTAAGTTAAAATCTGGTCTCAAAACTTAGTAGCTATGTGACCCTGGGCAAGTCACTTCACCCTGTTTGCTTCAGTTTCCTCATTTGTAAATTGAGCTGGAGAAGGAAATGGTATCTTTGCCAAGAAAACCACAAATGGGGTCATGAAGAGTTGGACACAACTGTAAAATGACTAAACAACAACTATATATGTATTTGTGTACATATATGTATACACATGTGTATGTCATACACACACATATATACATATAAATACACAAAATATACACAAGGTAATTTTTTTTTCGAGGCTAGGCACTCACAGAGAGAAATCAAGAAAGGTCTCATGTAGGAAGGTGGTTGTGGAGCTGGGCTTTGAAGGATATTGGGCATTCTAAGAGATGGGTATGAAGACTAGATCCTCTTGAAAGTCTGTCTAGAGGCCTGGATGTGGGGGAGATGAGGGTAGGTGAGTTTCTTGGGATCCTGACAGGCCCTCAAATAAACAGACATTTGTTTAAAAGAGTCCCCTCCAGGGACTATTGCTACCACTCTTTCTATCAGGGTACTGCTTTACTGTGACGTAGCTCTTTGTAGACACAATTTCCTCATTAGTATTATGCCCATTTTATAGGTAAGGAAATGAGGATCTGAGGGTAACTGACTTGAATTGGGTCACATGGATAGTAAAGTATAGAACTCAGACGTGACCCCAGGACTTGTTATTGGAAGTCTAATCCCTTTGCTGGTGTAGGCAGACAGTGGTTCCATTGTGGATTTCCTATCCACGTTATTTCTAAATGGGGCTGCACAGAGATATTTAATGGCAAAGAAATCAAAAAAGCAGCGTATGGAAATGAGCCAACATGGGTCACATGTGAGCGATCGTATCTATAAATTTAGGGACTAACAGCTTGCATAATAAAATTGGAGCCTTCTTTCCATCTTGAATGTGTGTTAAACATTTGTGCCCCATTCACAGCTGCCCCCAGCTCATTCCACCACTTTGTGAGCTCCGCAGAGTTCACTTGGACGGACGCAGTTTTTCACTTTGTCATAGATCGTGGCTTTGGAGGGATTCATAGTGACAAGCTTATTTCCACCCTCCATAACAACCGCCTGAGGATGCGATATCCCTGAAAATTAAGTCAATTCTGTAGGAATTAGAAAGTATTGACATGGGATCTTAGGAGCAAGAGATAGAAGGGACCTCAGAATCAATTGGTCAGTCATCTAGTCCAGGCCATCTAGTCCAGTCCCCTCATTTTCTTGATGAAGAAAGTGAGGACTACAGAAGTTAAATGACAAAAGCAAAATTTAAATAGCATGACATTTTTATTTTAAAAAAAAGAAAAAAGCAAACACCCATTGTAGAGCGAGCAAAGTTTCCATTTGCCCATTTGGCCAGAGGACTTGCTCCAGAGCCACTAGACTTGAGTTCAAAGCTTGCTTCTGCTGCTTACGTGTGACCATTCACTAAAGTCATTTAAATTTATGCAAATGCAAACTTCATTCAATTCAAAAAGCATTTTTAAGCCCCTCCTATGTACGTGTGAGGCATGGTGTGAGTGAGATTATCTCAGGTTTCTATGGCAGCGGGCAAAGAATCCCAACATTTAAGGTCATAGTGAGAGGTGCAGAGCTGGAAGGGCCCTCAGAGGCCACCATTCCAACTTTCTCATTTTTTTTCTTAAGAAGAGGAAACAGGTTCAACAAAGTCAAATTATTTAGAATCATAGATTTATGAAAAGGACCTTAGAGCCACCCAGAGTCCAATGCTCTCATCTTATAGATGAAGAAACTGAGTTCTAAGGAGGTGGAATTTGAACCCAGGTCCTCATTCTCAGAAATTCTTGGATACCTACTAAAGATCTAGAATGAGAAAGGAGCTTAAAGTCATCTAGTCCAAAGCTCTCATTTTCTAGACGAGGAAGCTGATTTCTAAGGAGGTTGTGTGACTTGCCCAAATTCACATGGGGTGGGATTTGAACCCAAGTCCTTCACCACATCACCACCTAGCTGCCTCTCTGAGGGTTTCAGTCTAAGGTGAAGGACTCAGTTCCACATGACTTCCTTTTTCTGAGAAACCAGAAAGCTTAAAAATAAAGATTACAAATAAAATTTATAAAATGTTCTGAGCTCCCAGGTAATCTTGATTATAGAGATGAAAGGAGGATTTCCTGGCCAGGGGAATTTGTTGTAATCAGATATGCACAGATACTCACCCTTATTATTTTCTATAGAAAGGACTCAACTTTTGTACTGTCATGGACTCCTTCTTAGAATGATGTTTTAAATGTATAAAGTAGAAGATGTACAATTACAAAGAAAACCAATGATATTGAAATAGTTATTACAATATTTTAAAATGAAAAATTGATGGATCTCAGGTTAATCAACCCCCTAAAAGGAAAACGAAGCAAACCAAAAAGCACCCTTGTATTTCTTTCTCTATAATAACTTCCAAAGAGTATCCATGGTAATGACCCCAATATAAAACCCAAACAAAAGATGATAAAACACTCTTCCTTCCTCTGGGTTGAGAAGTGGAGGGCAATGGGTGTGGAATACTGCATATCCTTTCAGATACAGTTGCTGCATTGGTCGGTTTTGCTCAGTTTTTCTTTGTTACAAAGAAGAGTTTAATGGGGGGAGGGGAGTTGGGGTAGGAGGAGACCAGGACGTGACTATGATGGACAAACAAGGCATCAAATAAAACTCAAAAATAAGTCAACATAGTTCCTTATCTTAGGCCGATTCAGAAACTGTCATTGCCTGTTTCTAAACACGTGGCATCTTCACCCTTCACCCCCGTGGCATTTGAGCATCTTTGTACACCCCACCCTGCAGGAGGGTGAAGAAAAACATTACCACTTACCTAAATTTGTCAGAAGAAGCGCAACTTTTTCATACAGCTGCAAAATAAGGAGAAACATATTTCACAATTTTGAAAGTGAAGTGCACAGACCCCCAAATATGGAATATATACAGAAGTAACCCAGCAATCAAATTGGAAGCACCCCCTCCTTCCAAAAGAACCCATTTATTTTCATGGCAGCCATGTTCTAGAAGGACCCTGGAGAGGTGGGCAAGTTTGCTGTCAACAAGCCCCATGTCTTCTGAGCTCGACATCTATGGAGATAAGTTGTTATTCCCCTGGATATAAGATTGTTTCTCAGGACTATTAAGTGCAGGGGCGTAGTCCCAGAAGACAACCCTCAGGGTCAGGAAGACCCGGGCTCACGTTGTGCCTCTCATACATGCTGTCTCTGGGACTCTGGACAAATTACTTAACCCTCAGTGCTCTGAGGCAACTCTCTGAGACTATAAATTGTCCTATGGGGCCAACCTACATTAGTAGAGGGAGTTTTCTCACTGGGAGCACCTTTACCCATGAAAACATAGGCCAGGTCATGCATGTCTCAGTTCCTGAGCACAATATAAATATTAGCCGACATTTATTGAGGGCTTCTGTGCCATGGAACTAGACTTCTCCATCAGGACAAAGGTTGACGTCACCATCTTACAAATGAATGGCCTTATAGAGAAGCTGAGAGTCTGAGGGTAGTGTAGTTCTGATCCACCCCTACAGTTGAAAAGCTAAAATTCACATTAAATTGATAGTAGGTCAGGCACATGGTTGTTCTATGGAAAGGGTAAACCATTACTGAGTTAATATTAAATGGCCCTTGAGTGGTCCCAAAGAGTTTTAGTGATTCTCACTAAATTACACTGGAAGGTCCTTGAGAGCAGGGACTGTGTTTTGCCTCTTTTTGTATCCCCAGCGCTCAGCAAAGTTCCTGGGTGCATAGTAGGTGCTTAATAAATATTTAGTAAGGAATTGATTATTGATTGATTCTCACAAATTCTTGGATTCCTATGAAAGACTGGGACAGATATGAGCTAATGATAGGAACATAGTATAAGAATAGGAACATGTATCAGTGCATTCATTGTGTATATGCTTATATAAGGACATGTCTTCTTCCTTGATAGAAGGGAGACTTGTAAGCTCCTTAAGGATGAGGATTGTCTTGCTTTTGTCCTTGTTTCCCTAGTCCTTAGCACACAGTAGGAGTTTATAAAATGCTTGCTGTTTGATTGATGTTGTAAAGGGGATTTTTTTTTTCAGGTATGGGTTGGCCTAGATGCCCTTTAAGGTTTCTGAGCTTTGATGAGTCTGTGGTTGCTGCCAGCCAAAGACCTTCTGATCCATTTGGGAAGAAAAGACATGCAGAGAGAATCAGATTACCAGGTAAGTACATAAGTGCCTTGTAACTGGTTTGGTCAATAAGGGCTATTCATAGAAGTTTCATAGTGGGAGATACTGCTTACTACAAGTGTGATTAAGGAGGGATTTCAGGAAAAGTATGGATATTAAGAGTAAAAATGGAGGGTATTTATTTTCTGTCTGTCAATATCTATTGTGACTCCTCTATTCTAGACCTGTTTCCTCATCAGTAAACAAGGAGGGTAGTGTGAATCAGATACTGAAAGTTATGCTGACTCAGTGACTTACTGTTTCCAGATATGCTCATCAGTTACTGTTGTGGGGAGATGTTACCCAGTCTCCTGATGTTTGTCATGAGTCTAGCCACCCTCTCCCTACCTGTTTGTATCTGGAAACTATCACATACTTCTACCTTGGGAAGGAACCGAGATGCAAGGGCCCAACCTCTTTTGCTGATGTGGACCTATTTAAATTTTTATCTCATTACAAAAGGTATCCATAAAAGCTGGCTCAATTTTCAAGCCATCGCTGATCTCCACTGATCAACCCCTCAACATATTGCTACCTTGACATACTTAGGATAAACTCCTTTCAATTCTCTTTGTCCTGAGTTTTGCTTCTTCAATCAGGGCGAAAGCCCAAACAAAGAACTCTCTTTTTAACACAAAGGCGTCAAACTCAAGGCCTGGGCCATAAGTGGCCAAAACTCCTGAGAACCATTAAAATTAATTGGAAAATGTTTAACAAATAAAAATACAATATAACATAGATAATGCTAACATATGGTTTTCTAAGTCTGTATGTAGCTTCTGTTTCTATTTGAGTTTGACACCAATGAATTAGATGATCTCTAAGGCCTGTTTAATCAATCGATGTCTCCATCACTCAGAAAACATTGATCACCTAAAATGTGGCAGACGCTGTGTTAAGAATTGGGAATAAAAAGAAAAAGATGATATTATCTTTGCCCTGAAAGAGTTTATCGTATGTTCAGGGACAAGGGCCTGTGAGCTTGTCTTTCCCATCTTTTCCTATCAAGGTGGTAGAAATGCAAAGGAAATTTGTTGGAGAACACTCAAATACTAAATGAAACTTGAGGGAAAAGATACACCTCCCAAAAGGAAGCAAACCAAATTGCTTTGGAATCTCAAAACTAAGCAAACCTGGAGTCTTAAAGTTAGGAGCATTAATCGTCTATTGGTTTCCAAAACATACAAGAAAATGGAAATTCACAACACTCTAGACGTTGTCAGTTAAATGAAAACACAATTCATTCAAATGCCCTCTAGGGACATTTTTTGAATAATGCAATGATAACAACAGACCACTTATTCTGCTTTAAGACTGAAAGTCAAGTATTTTTCATTTAGGAACACTATGATGTGGATTAATCCATTTAATGTGATGACAAATACCCAAATTACAAGTAAATATACAACACTAAAATGCATTCCACTTATCTTACAAAACAAAACAAAACAACCCAACAACTACATCATTTTGAGTAGAAGCAATGGCACCAGTACTGGACTGAATGTACTGTCAGGGGCCTATTTCTTGAAAACTGAACTCTGCATGACCTAAAAACTCAGCACTCATAGCAAGGAAGAATGGCAGGAAGCCCTGGTTTTGAAGTCAGAGGACCTGGTCTGATGCTTACTATCTGGGAAAAGTCACTGAATATCCTTGGGCCTCAGTTTCCTCATCTGTAAAAGAAGGGGGTTGTACAAGATGGCTCCCGTGGTCTCTCCCAGCTCTGGATCTCACATCCAGTGATTCTGCAGTCTGGATTTCACTGATGTCCATTCTTTGGAGTCCACAGCAACTACTGCTTTGCTCCAACATTCACATGTATTATAAATGTCTCAAAAGTCTTCTCAGCTAAAAATGTGGTGCAGCATCAAGAACCTCTGTGAGAGCGCCATCAATAGGAAAGGGTCTGTTAGCACAGTTGTTAGCACGTGATACATATTAATGTTGTCACAACTGGATACAGTGAAGATTGGACACAGTGGGAGGATAATCCTAATAGCTAAGACATGTAAGGCATTTTAAGCTTTGCATATATGATCTCTTTTAATTCTTTTACCCTGTAAATCAGGTGCTATTATTATCCAACAGAATAGTGATTCTGATGGAACAATAATTCCCAAAGAAGGATTTCCTCATTTTACTGATGAGGAAGTATTTAGATTTAACTCCTGGATTCCTTCACCCCAGAAAGAGAGACAGTGTGGCACATTAGAACACTGACCTCAGAGTCAAGGAGACCTGAGTTCAGGTCCTGCCTCTGAGACATACTGACTGTGTGATCCTGGGCATATATCACTGAACCACTCAATGCTCTAGGCAGCTCTCTAGGACCTGATCTGGGAGAAATCCTTTCATCTAGACATGAAACCTCAGGTCCAGGCCCTGTTGCCTCCTTCACAGCGATTGATTCAGGTTATGTTTTCATGGCTAACACCTAGTACTTTGTCATGGTATTTTTCAACTGTTGCAGCACTTAATTTATCGTGTGATTTCTCAAATAGATTGGGGAAGGAACCCCACCTCTGACCAGCCCAAGTGTTCCCTTCTGTTCTGCAAACAAAGCATGAGAACAGTTACACAGAGCCTGCTCATCTCTCCCAGGCGGTGGCTGTTGACTGCCTACCCTCCCTCTGGTTAGGCAAACTAGAGAAAGCTTAAACCCTTCACCAGAAGGAAACACACAAGGTACCCCATACTCGGCCTACGACTTTTCAAGGACTTATCTATTCTATGAATTTGAAAAAATGGATTTAGTTATTTTCCTACTATTTAAATTTTTTTATTATTATTATTAAAAAGCACATTGATCAAGGGGCCAGAGTACAGCTAAGGGCACTTGTGCTTAAAAGAAGTGTCCGTTTCTTTTAGCAGAATCAGTTTACTTCTAATGACTTTAATTTGTTCAGAGGGGACAGCAACTCTGCTACTTGACCCGCTGGGAGGTAGGACAAAAGTTGCCAGTCCCAGAGAGCCCCTTTCATGCCCGTTCCCAGGATATGATTTGTATGGACAATGATTGGCATTGTGGGGGTAGGGGGAAAGAGTTGAAAGGAATTTCCCAGTCCCAAGTCAGATAATGCACAGAGGTCAGGGAGCGCAGCTGGGGCAGAAATGAGTCTGAAAGCCAGAATGAAAGCTCCCTGCAAGCAAAGATTGTTTCATTGTTTGTAATTGTTACCTAGAGCCTGATGTAGAAGGTGCTCTGATAAGTGCTTGTTGAAGGATTACAAAGGTTAGGGCACTTAACCTTTTTGGTGTCCTGACCATCTCTGGCACTCCGGTCAAGCCAACAGACAGTTTTGCAGAACAACAGTAATAACCAACAAAATAACAGTAAGAAGAGTATTAGTATAGATAACATTTATATGGCACCTTACATTTATTACCTCATCTGATCCTCACAATAACCCTGTGAGGTCAGTATTATTATGCCCATTTTATAGATGGTAAGCTGAGGCTGAGAGAGTTAAGTGACTTGCTCATAGTCACACACCTAACAGGTAACTAAGACAGGATTTAAAACGAAGCCTTCCGGGCTTTAATTTCAGGACCCTGTGGAATTGTTTTAAATGTACACAACAAAACATAGAGAATTATAACAGAAACCAATCACAATGAAATAGTTACCAAAATATTAAAATAAATAAGTTCATACACTCTGGGTTAAGAACTCTTTCTCAGATAGGCAGTAGATGGAGTCTGAATCACCAAGAGCTAAAGTAGCCCCTGGGGCTATGAGCTAAAATAGCTGATAGACACTCCCTCCCTCCTTTGGAGGAATGAGACTTTTAAGTGGTCAAAACGATCAGCAGATGGCATCCACAGCTCTGAGGAGGATGAAAGCTCCAGCTGAGATGCATCCTTAACTATGAGATTTGCCCTGGCTATCCAGCTGCCTCTTATGTGTATCTCTTCTCTACTTATCCCCTGACTACATGCTCCTCCGTGTGCATTCTTACTCCCATTAACATTTGTGGGAGTGGGTAGCCACCATGTGTATGGGGAGGTATATTCCATAATTCAAAGGGCTTCTTTATCTTGCAGAAGAAAAATTTCATTATTGAAGAATGATATTTTAAAAGTCTTAGGGGACACTTGCTATTGTGTGAATCCTTTTGCAAGGTGAAGAAGTTTTCTGTGATGTTGATAATTGCTCCCCACCCCCATTTTATCAGTTTTGGAAGTTCCAACTATTTTCTTTGCCACTATGGCACTATTCAGCAGCAGTAGTCATAATAATAACTAATATTTACACAGCACTTATGTGGTTGTGTGGTTTGTCCTTTGTTCTGAGAGGACCATGACATCGGGGAGATGATGGCATGACTTACAATTGACTTTGATTTGAGGTGGGGAAGGGCTGTGCAAAGTCACCAGCTTCACTTTCTCCTCCAGAGCCATCAGGGTCCAGTGACCAGATATCAATCAGGATGACTGGAGAGGGCCCAGGATGCAGTGGGAGACCTTGGCCCTTTTAAGCTAAGGTCTTTTCAGGTTCTCATTTTGAGTGAGGCAATGCCCATTCAGTGAATAGGCCTCTTTAAGAAGCGAGTCAAGGGCTGGCCCTTTTAATAAAAAAAAAAAATCAAACTGAGAGGGGAAGACCCTCAGGGTTGAAGAGAAACAGTGACTATTTACATTCACTCTGAGCCAGGAGGGCCCAAAAAATAGCCATTAAGTGGTGCTTGGGCAGGGACCTATTGTTGTCCAATCCATGATATCCAGAGTGAATTGGGTTTAAACTTGGTCTTTGAGAAAGAAACTAGTTTACTAGGTAGCTTTCCGCCATCAAAATTTACCTTCCTTTGGGCAGAATATGAGTCGTAGTAGCACTCGTAGTAGTGATGGTGACAATGGAGGTGGAGGTGATGGTGGTGGTAGTGACTGTGGCAATGGTGGTGGCGGCAGTAGAATAGCAATAGTAATAATGTAGGCTCTAAAAAACTAGCACCGTTCAAACATTTAGCAAGGCATGACCTTGAGACTAGAATTATACCTCAGAATATTCTCTTTCATGGATGGACAGATGATAAACTTCCTGTGTGTGATATGAGATCTCAAAATACAAAACAATCATACAGACCTCAAAATAATCCAGAGAATTCAGCCAGTAAGCTGAATTGAAAACCAGACCATTGTTACAGACTGAACTATTTCCTGCAATGGACTTAAATTTGATCCATAAAAACTTAAGAACTCCATTTTTTTTTAATAGGTGTCACCATATCAAAACACTCCTCATCTCTAAATCACATGAAACAAAAAACTTTCAAAATACAGAGACTTAGGAGTTAGCCTGAGGATGCTCTCAGTGAGCCTATAGAAGATGAGCTGGGTTCCTGATGGAATCCTAATAAAGCTGCCCCCAGCCCCAATATTCTGACTTCCTTATGGGCCCCACTGAACAACAGGCATGTCCTGATTTAACCACACAATCTGACTTTAACCACACCACAGGCCCCCAGACTCAATACAGCCATGGTCCCAGCTAGCCTCTGCCTCCAGATCTAGTCCACATGTTTGAACAGGTGTGTTCTTGTACTCCACCACAATCACATCATCCATTAAGCGCAAGACAGGACCACAATACCTAACTAGCCAATCAGAAAGCAGCACGACCAGGACGTTTGACCACTGAACCACGGAAGGGACCCCTCCCCTATTACCTAATCCCTTAACAAACCCTTCTTGCCTTTTTAATATTCACAATTCCTGTTTTGTAATTGCATCTTTACCTATAAAAATTCATCTTGCTTTCTCTGAAGTTGCTGGTTCCTCTTGGAACCTAGCCAGCTTCTGAGGGGCATCAGTCCTCAATACAGGCTTGTACTTGGATTACAGGCAATCTGACTGAATTCTTTGAGATGGTGCCACCACAACACGCCATGAAACCACAACCCTCCTCTTTAGCCATAAAAAGCAATTATTTTATCTGCCCATGCAAGAGTTTATAGACATTAAATGTTCAAGAATAGTGACAGGATAGCTCTTGGTTCTAGGACTATTTCTGTTGGGATCTCATCAAAGGATGATGATGATGATGATGATGATGATGATGATGATGGTGATGATGGTGATGACAGTAATTCCCACTTTACATAGTTAAGATGTGCAAAACACTTTCAACGTGTGTCCAGAAAGTCTCAGTACAGCTTAAGACTATCAAAGTTTCATGTTTTTTTTTTACTGTTTTGTATGATTCTATACTATGACTGTGGAAGCAGGTGATAGTATTATCCTCATTTTACAGATGAAGAAACTGAGGCTTAGTGTGATTTGCCTCGGGTTTCACAGCCCCTCAGCGGCAAAGACATGAACCCAGGTCTTCTCGACTCCTGTAAGCCAGCCTGCCTCTAACAGTAATAATAACAGCAGCTCACATTGATGTAGCAGTATATAGTTTTATATATATAAATTCACAGTTGCTTGATATGCACGCTCGCGCTCGCAGTTGGTCATCACAACCACCTTGGGATGTAGGGGCTTAAAGCAAGAGGCTCAGCCTCAGAGCTTAAGAGAGACCCACAGTTCAAGCTCACAGAGGTAGCAATACGCCGCCGAGGCAGGATTTTAACCCAGGTTTTTAGCGTCTACTCCACACACCCTCTCAGCCTTGCCCACCGCTGCTCCTGCGGCTGGTGAGGCTCCCCCGTGCCCAGCCTCCCAGGCGGACTGGAAGAGAAGGGCCACGTCTGCCTCGAGTCCATACGAGCCACTCGTCTCCCCCTCCCCAGCCTTCCTCTCTCGTATCCTTACCACGTTCAGCAGCATGATGATACAAAAGTTGATGCACACTGCTGTCCCTGTGGTTGCAACCTGAGAGTTATTCCTGATTAAAGCCCACTTGAAGGCAGCAAAAGTACTGACGGTCACAACACGGTAAATGACGATTCCAAACACAGCGGCGATCACCACACAGATCTACAGCGGAAAAAACAGAGAAGGCCTTGTGGGCTTCAAGGCTTCAAGAGAATCATCTCCATCAGAAAGAACACACAAACAAATGAAAACAACAACTCAGTGTTGGGGTGAAGGCTAGACCACGTGACTGCCCTACAGCTGGGAGGGACTTTGGCTAAGACCAGTGGTGTTGAACTCAAGTAGAAACTACAGATTGATGGCATAGTGACTTTGAAAACCACAAATCGGCATTATCTATGTTGTATTTTTATTCATTTTGGTAAATATTTCCCAATTAGATTTTAATCTAATTGACTTCTTCTGGGCAAGAGTTTGATACCTCTGATCCAGTCTAGAAGTGTGCTGGGGAGACAGCTCAATAGGCTAAAAGCTGATTGTTAAATTTTCAGGGTGAGCATTTACACCTTGGGAATTGGCAAATGCTATAAATTGGGGCTCACATTATTGATTTTTAATTGTCTGGTGTTAAGAAAGTGATGGAGAAAATGTTAATAATGCAAAATAAATTTAAACGCTTCATGGGTTCATTTTTTTCCCGAGCCTGTTGTTAAACATTTATCAGTGTACGCCTGGTCCAGCTCTTCAACTTACAGATGAAGAAACTGAGGCCAAGGGAGGCTGTGACTTAAGATCATAGGTTCCTAGATCTCGAGATGGAAGGAACCTTGAAGTTTTCGAGTTCAGCCCCTCAGTTAGCTGAGCTTATCTCATCTACCCAAAGTTTCATAGAGAGTAAACATCAGAGGTGGGATTTGAATCCAGCTCCTTTGACTGCAGAGCCAGTTAATTCTCTTTCTACTGCACCCTGCTGCCAAGTAAGCATCAGTGAAATGCCCACAAAGATATATGTGTATGTATATATAGATATATTTTTTTAAGGGAGATTTTTTCATTATAATTTTCCCTGTTGCATCCTATCCTTTTTGGTAGTATCCTTTTATCTTTGGTAGTATCCTGCTCCTGTATTTACTCTATTTTGAATGATTTACAAACGAGTAACTCGTAAAGAACAATTGTCTCTTAACAACTCTCAGTACTCTGACGTGAGCTTCCCCAGAACACTCCATTCTCCAACTGAGTTTACTGTTTTATATTTCTCTGAAGACTTCAAAACATGTATGAAATGTATCAGAGAAAAAATAGAAATCAATCTAAGTCTTGCAGCCCTGCCGTGGCCGCTGGGTTACAGGACAATTGCATCGCAAGTCCAGGACGCCAACCCGGCTCTCTTGGACCTGCTCCGTTGAGTTTCGCATTCCAGAGTGTTGACTCTGTTAGTCTTCTCCCTGGGACCAGAATGTTTATGTGAGCTGTGCTATCTGGAAAATGGCACTCATAGAATGCCGGGATGCCAGATGGGTAAGCAGAAGGACTTGTACAGTATACCCCAAATCTGGCACATGCACCCCAAAATACCCACCAACCACAAGTCAAACTCATCAGCCCTGCCTGAAGTTCTTTATTGAACCTTCTCTGAGCCGCTCATATTAACTGATGAGTAACAATAACCACAGTAACAAAGTAATAGCTTATATTTCTATAGCCCTTTCAAGTTTATGAAGTGCTTTTACTTACAGTCTCTCATTTGATAGGGGGTTGCTGTTATAAAATCTTATTTCAAGAAGTAAATGGGGCATGTGCAAACAGTTTACCTTCTTCCCAGAGTGAGAGGAAAGTGTTTGACTTAACTGCTTTAGACTTTGAATTCTGTTGTCTACACTGGAAGAATTAGACCTAGGACCCAGTGATTTAGAGACCACTGGGTCCAGCCCTCATCACTTACACATGAGGAAACTGAAGTGTCAGAGAGCCTACAGAACATAGATTTTAGAGCCAGAAGGGACCCTGAGAGTCAGCTAGTCCAAACTGCTTATTTTGCTGTTGAGTAAACTGAGGCTCAGAAAAGTAAAATGACTTTCAGGGTCACAAAGGCAGTAATGTCCAAGGTGGGATTTGAATCTGGGTCCTTTGAATCCAGAGCCAGTGTTCTTTCCATTGTACCACATGGCCTCCCTTACGATATCCTCCACAGGTGGTCTTGTAGCTATCTCACCGTGCTGACTTCCAGTGAGGAGGGATCCACTATCTCATGAAGCAGTCCATTCTTCTTTGGGACATTTAGAACAATTGTGCTAAAGGTTTTGTTTTCCCCTTTTGAGTGGAAACCCGCCTCCTGGGAGCTTCTGCCCATCGTTCCTAACTGCGTCCCCCAGGGGCAAGCAGAACCAGCACAGTCCTCGCGTTCCTCTTCCAGCTGGACCGCTCACCGTGCCCCTGCCTTCATCCTGCCCTCAGGTCTCGGGCGATGGGCTCTTCCCTAGTGCTTGGTTTTTTATGCCCCTTGTCTCCCTACCCAATTCTAATGTGTATTTAACGTGGCTGGCTGCCAGTCTCAGCACAGTCCTGTTACCTGGGAACGTTTTTCTGTGGCTGCCACTTAGGCTTGGTAGGAGAAATGAGTGTGGCCTTGGGCATGGGGAGTCCATGAGCTTCATGATCGTGCAAGCTCACAACTACGGACAGGGTGTCCCAAAAGGCCTAACGCAGTTCATGCTACTGAAGGTATTAAGTTACTACCGCTTAATGATCTATAAGTGCCTCAATTATTTAGCGCCTACTATAATAATAATAATGATAACAATGATAATACTGCACTAAAACTCTTGATGACTTGCAAACTCCCTACGGTAGGTAGTGTGACAAATCTTAGGATCAGAGCTCAGGAGCTGGGAAGGACATTAAAGCCACCTAATCTAGCCATCTTCATTTCACAGATAAGAAACTGAGGCCCAGAGAGATTAAATAATTTCCCCAAGGTCACAGAGCAGAGATAGGACTGTGGATTTCAAGCAGGAAGGGACCTGGATACCATCTAGCCCAACCCCTTCATTTAATAGATGAGGAAAACTGAGGCTCAGAGAGGCCAAATGACTCACCCAGGGTCATACAGGTAACTGACAGGCAGGATTTGAACCCAGCTCCTCTGATTTCAGAGTTAGGGCTCTTCCCACTGTTCTATTCTGCTTCTCACAATATAATTATCCCCATTATATAGATGAGAAAACTGAGGCCCAGAGAGGTTACAGAACATGAGTAATAACAAGCAGCTAATAAGTAGAGAGGTTGTGTGGTAGAGGAGAAGGGTCACATGATTTTTTTTTTTTTAAAGATTTGGGTTTGAATCCTGCCTCTCCTTGGTCACTACCTACGTGACACTGGGCAGCTTCAGTTCCCTCACCTTGGACCAGATGCACCTTCAGATCAAGTTGTTGTTGTTCAGTCATTTCAATCGTGTCTGACTACTCGTGACCCCCTTTGGGTTTTCTTGGCAGAGATACTAGAGTGGTTTGTCCCTTTCTTCTCTGGCTCATTTTACAGATAAAGAAACTGAGGCAAACAGTGTGAAGGGACTTGCCCAGGGTCACACAGCTAGTATCTGAGGACGGATTTGAACTCAGGTCTTCCTGACTTCAGGCCCAGAACTCTTATCTACTCCAACTAACTGCTCTTTGAGAATCAATTCTAATCTTTAATTTATGATTACTACAATGAAGTCAGGAATCAAATCAAGTCTTTTGGCTGCAAATCCAGTGCTTGTTTCACTACATATATCTATCTTATCCCTCCCTCCTTTCCTCTCCTTTCTCTTTCCCTCTTTCCTTCCCCCATTCCTCTTTTTTTGGGGGAGGGAGATAATATTATTTTCATTGCTAAGTTAGTCAGAAACTGAAGGGGAACAGGAGGTGATAATGACTCCATGGGGGAGGGGGAGGGAAGAGGGCTTGAATCTGTTTCATAAGTGTGTACAACTGCCGGTATGGAAGCTTCCTCCAGTGATGCAACTCGGCAGCTCCTGTACCCCTAGTGAGGTCTCTGTGGGTGCCCAGATGTTTAAGTGATTTTTGCTGAAAGTACATGGCAGAGGCAGAATTTGAACACGGGTCTGCCTGACCCCAAAGGCTGCTCTTCTATCTGCTCTACCTTAGTGACTTTCAACAACTCTGGCTCCTCCTGAAAACATTTGGAACACATGAGGGCATGCAGTCCACTGCAGTCAGAGTGCAAGACGATGTCAAAAAATCCATAGAATGGCTTCTCAGTAGCTCGTGAAAGAGGCTTTGGGTCACTTCTCTTTATGCTCTGACTACTGACCTCCCTGGCTTCCTTTGAGTCCCAACTACAATCCCACCTTCTACAGGAAGCCTTCCCTAGCCCCTCTTCATTCCAGTGCCTTCCCTCTGTTAGTTTTTCCTATTTATCCTGTGTATAGTTTGCCTTGTATATATTTGTTTGGTTATTGTCTCCCCGTTAGAATGTAAGCTCCTTGAGGGCAAGGAATATCTTTAGCCTCTTTCTGTATCCTCAGCAGTTAGCACAATGTCTGGAACATAGCAGGTGCCTAACAAATATTTACTGATGGACTGATTGACTGTGCCTTCACAGTACAGTGTAGAGAAAGAATTGACCTTGGAATTACAAGACCTGGATTCATGCTTTAGCTCAGGCACATACTATCTGGGTGACCTTAGGCAAGTCAACTTTCCTTCCTCTGAGCCTCAGTGTCTCTATCTGTAAAATAGGACCAATAATAATTCTTTTTTTTTTCCTCCACCTGCCTCTTGAGTTTAATATGAAGATTAAATGAGGTCAAGTCTCTAAAAGCACTTTATACAAATATAGCTGTTAGTTTCATTTAGGAAAAAAACAAATGGAAAAAAAGTCTTCAAACCATAAAAAATATTCCAGATGCAGAAACAACAAGTCTGCTGCATTTATCTGTAAAGGCTTGATAAGGTTCTGGTTTTCCCGAAATGGGGTTCATCCGCTCTTTCTTGGAGTATTTGGCTTCGAACTGGGGCCGTATTTCTTCCTAAGGAAGAGATGGACAGCTTTTACGGATGGGGCAGTAGTACACAGCAAAAACAAATAAACAGATCCACAAACAAATTACTCTTTTATATTAGCATGCCATTCAACTGTTTTGGTAAAAGCTTCTCCACCCACCAAATAAACAAGCCAGCCAGCCAGCAACCAACCAGCCAACCAGTCTGATATGGCAGGCAAGCTCGAAGAACGCATACCCCAGATCCACCATTATTGAAAGCAAGTGATTCCGATGGATATTTTTAGAATCTCACAAGTGTTTCCCTTATAAGCCACGAACCAAAAAGATTATTTTAAAGCGGTTCCCTAGTGACCTCAAAGAATGAACAAATTTCTTTTCTACTGTTAGGGAGTAACTCAAACATTACAATGAAGATGAAAATTCTCCATGTTGGAAAAAGGAGAAATGCAGTTCTCAGCTAGTTTCAATTATTCTCTTTGTTATCTTATTTGGATAGTTAAAACTATGACAATTGAAATTTTTATCACAAGCAATTCACCTTTAATCAACTGATTTTATATGTAACAATTGGCTTTGGAAACATAGTAAAAATCTATCAAAACTGGCTACAGTCGAGGCTTTTGAGCCCTCTAAAACAAACGGAGATTTGATTTATCTAGCTAAAATAAGCCCAAATAGAAAAGGTCACAGAATAAAAAGTAATTATGGAATTAGGAAAAGAATGCTAAGTTGGTAGGTTCTAGTTGATGGAGATTTTATATAATGTTCATGTGTCTTTGAACAATGAAGGAGAGGAGCTGAGGCTGGGTTTTTTAACAAGGGGATGTGTAATCCCAGGGAGGAAGCTGTCTGAATGGGGGCAGAAGCCAAGTGATGGGGAGGAAGGGACAGGTATGGGGGAGATGAACAAGAATAAGAGCTAGTGTTCATATAATAGTGTGTTAAGATTTGCAATGTGCTTGACAAATATTATCTCATTTGATTCTCACAACCATCTTGGGTGTTATCATCATCCTCATTTACAAATGAGGAAAATGAGGCATGGAGAGGTTAAGTGACTTGCCCAGGGTCACGCAGCCTGAGGCAGGATTTGAACTCAGGTCTTTCTGACTCTAAACTGGATGTGAAAACTGAACAGCCATATGAAATTCCTGTGAGGTTTTTGTGAATTGGTAAAAGAGCTAAAATGCAGAGACAGTTGTATCCCTAGTGCTTAGCACAGTTCCTGGCACACGGTAAGTGCTTAATAAATGTTTACTTTTCCTCTCCAGTCAGTTTCTGGAATAGGTTTAGCTTCATTCCATTTATTTAAGGCAACCACTATGGAGGATGGACATGAAAACCTAGAAGGTCCCTGTTTACCTCCCATACACATACAGACATACATATGCTTCCAATTTTTCAGCTCTTTGTGTTTCATCTTCCCTTCTTAGAACGTGAGCTCCTACCGAATAGGAGCTGTCTTGTTTGCTTAGGTTTGTAGTCCTAGCCCTTGACACAGTGCTGAGCACAGGGGAAACACTTAAATGTTTTGTCTGTCCGTCCGTCCGTCCGTCCGTCCGTCCATCCATCTACCCCAACTAGGAGGTAGGGAAAAGTACATTTCTGAGTGACTCTGGGTCAAAGGGCAGGGAGGAGGACCGTGTCTGAGATTTCATTGGCAGAGGGGACTCTCAGGGAAGGAACCCTCTTTACCAAGGCAGGGCAGCACTGTGTGAGGAACTTGTTAACTTAGAGATTTGCCCGGGGCCATGAGAGGTGGCAGGGACTTGCCCAGGGTCACCCAGCTTAGACCTCGCCCTTCCAGCCCTCAGTCAGGCTCTCTCTCTTTAGGATGCTGTCCTGCTTCCGTGGATGCAGCTGGAGCCTCTGGGTCACTCTGGGGAAAGGGATGGTCGTGCAAGCCAAGGCGCACGTTTTCACACAAACCTCCTCTTCTTCCCAGTCGATCAAATCCCAGTCATAAGCAATTACTGCTCTCCTTCTCTTCCAAAACTCCAGGAAAACGGTTGCTGGAATGGAGAGAGAAGGGCAGGTAAGTGAAAGTAAAAAATGCAACGAAGGCACCACGGGGAGAGGAGTTGTCCCACTGAGAATGGAAGAGTGTAGGGAGGAGGGTAACAAACGAGGGGACTGCAACAGAGTGCTGAGAGGAAATCAAGGATTAGAACTGCCCTGGGGCAAGTCTGTGGAAGCCTGGGGACCCCTCCTCAGAGTCATATTTTTAAATGCATAAAATAAAATACATGGGATGGCAAAGGACACCAATTATCTTGTAATACAGTAATAAGCAAATGTGTATGAATGTGTATATGTATACATAGAGAATTAAATAGATACTAGGCTACAATATGAAATAAATCTCTATATGTATACATAGATAATTATGTACAGTTATATAGCTATATACATACTTATATAATATATACATACATATAAGTATATAAAAATACATTTATATTTATATATCAATATATATAAACATGTATATATGTGTGTATATATACACACACATGAAAATTGTGTGTATGTGTGTGTGTGTTTGTAAAAAACCTGGACTCAGGTTATGAATCCCTGGAATAGGAAATCTTTAGCTATAGTCACATAAAAAGTAGAGTCTCCAGACAATGGTGAGCAGCCTACACATGTGGCTGCTTCTCTCTGTCCCTCTCTGTGCTAGAAAACCGGGGATGTCCGGGGACGCTGAGCACCAGGCAGCACGGAGCTCATGGCTCCAGCTTTTCAAGACAGCTAAAGGACTCAGGTGACTTTTCATCTTGATAGTGAATATCGTACATTTATCTCCAAGGAGAAAAAAAGACATATAATTTTTTTCCTTTGCCCATTACAAAACAAAAGAAAGAAAAGAAAAGGAGTCTGGGAATTTAAAGGCATGACTGTTTGGTTTCCCCTTCTCTGCCCCTTCAGCAGGAGGTTTGCTGCTCTGTGTGTGGCCAGCGCCACAGGCAGTTCTGTGAAGGAGAGAAACAACCTCTTTGTTTCATTGTTCTGTTTTTCCTCTCATTTCTACCGGGAGGCCTGCCCTGAGTTTCACTGCAAACATTTCCGGGGAACAAGTGAAGCCAATATTGTTTCCTCTGGAGGGGAGATTTCCTGCTGAATGCCCCATGCTTAATGACCGTTTGCTCTATGGCACCTGACCATGACATCTGGCAAGTCAACCATCCTCCCTGAGCCTCAGAGTCTTCCTTGTTAAAATGGGACAGCACCGTGCTCGGTATGGTATTAGTGGAGAGAGCACTGAAACCAGGGAACCTGGGCTCACATCCCATCTGGAGGCCTCTGGACAAATCTCATATTCACCTATAAAGTGAGAGGAGTGGCAGGACGGCCCCTCAGCCTCATTTCACCTCGAAATATTGGGTTCTCTGCAATGACGCCCTGTATATTAAGCACTTTGAGAACTTTTTAAAAAGTGCTGTGTAAATTCAAACCATCAGCCCCATCATTAGACAGGATAGGCGTTGCAATCCCTGCTGAGGCAACTGAGAGCAGAAATCACCCAACTTAGTTAAAGTAATGTGAAGCTTAAGAGAGGAGGTGGAAATCATCCTACTCATCTAATAGTCTCAGTGGTAAATATTTTACGCAATTAAAAACTCACTTTTCATAATTTCTTCAGGTTGATTCATATGTGACTATGAAAGTTATAATTAGGACACGTATCCAGAAACGAGAAAGGCAATGTGTTGGAATAGAGGGCTGGCCTTGGAGCCGGGAAGACTGGTGTTCCAACTCTGCCTTGGAAACATCCCGGCTGTGCGCTCCCAGTGCCCCAACCCTCTCAATGCAGTGTGAAGTGCAGAAAACTGCTGACCTGCATCAGTGGAGGGAGTTTTCACACTAGGAGTTCCCCACACTGATTTAATCACAGGTCTAGAACCCGTACTCTACATCCCCCAAATTAAATCTGGAAGCAAAAAACAAATTAAAATTAACTTTCAAAAATTGCAGTATAATAAGCATCTATCTCCTTCCTTCCTTCCTTCTTTCCTTCCTTCCTTCCTTCCTCCCTTTTGTAATGAGATTCACATTAAAACAATCATTACTAGTTTTAGATCTGGACCTGAGATTTGATCAATGCGGGGCACCCTGGAGATGAAAACTTCATCTACCAATATAGATCAGCAATTTGTTTGTAACTTAGTCTTAGGAATTGCCTCATTTCTAATACTAATAATGCCTAATTTCTAATAATGGGGGCACTGAGAGGTTAAGCAATTTATCCATGGTCACAAGCCAGCAACTGTTGAAAACAAAAGTTGAAGCCAGGGGTTTCTGACTCCTGGGTTAACTTGCTAACCATTGTGCCAAGCTGCCTCTCAAACACGTAATCATAATCTTGACATTTTGGTTAGATTTGATGAAGATTTCACTGAGTTTGTTTATTGCAGAGAATTCAGTTCTTGGTAACAAATGAAAGTAAGAAACCAAAAAAGCCCCACCACAAACCAAAGAGAAGCGAAGATCGGTGTAGATGATCTGCTTCCAGACTCGTCCCTGCCAACAGCTAGCTCCCTAATGACTCACGTTTTGTGCCCTCCCCTGTCCCCCATCCCAGGAAGAGAAGCCAGTGTGGATTCTGTCATTGCTGTCTTCTTTGCATGTTTCTGAACAAAACCCAGAGCTAGGGAAAAGCCTCAGTAACTCCAACTTATGGACTCCCAGCCATCAATTTCACTCGGCAAGGTGCTAATCATGGCCTGAGGTAGGCCCATCTTGGCTGGTCCATGCTGGCTAATGCAGCCACTGGGGGTGTTTCAGAAAGTTCATTTTAACTTGGTAAAAGAGCCTTGTGGGCTCCTGCAGGGCCAGTTCAAAACAGAACCTTGCAGATCTGTGGAAAAGCATGAGAATTCGAGCAAAGAGGAAACAAGGGCACGGACTTCCCTTGTCCAGGTATCTTGTAAGGGCTGGCTACAGAAAACCCCTAGCCCAGCAAGAGCTGCAGGAACCTGCATTTAGCTAGTAAAGTCCTTTATCTTGCCCTTCCATCAGTCAGGGAGCAATGATTAAACACCTGCTGTATGCCAGGCACCAGATGGTTCAATGGAGAGAGATGAGATCATCTTTGTAAAGAACTCTGCCAACCTTAAAATGCTACGTTATTATTACCATTACTGCAAAGTTTAAAATGCTATATAAATGTGCACCGCCTGATTTCCTTCTAGAATGTTAGTTGAAGCAAATTAAAAGATTCCAAATTTAGTCCTAGCCTTACCTTTACATTGAGAAACAAGTTACTCCAATTTAGTTAAAACTCTCTTTTTATCAGCATTCAATGTCAGACTTTAAAAGGTACATATTCATTGAATTAAGGCAGCTAAGTGACACAGAAGATACAACCCTGAGCCTGGAGTCAAGAAGTCCCAAGTTCAAATCTGGCCTCAGACACTAACTAGCTATGTCACCCTGGGCAAGTCACTTAACCATGTTTGCCTCAGTTTCTTCATCCATCAAATAAGCTGGAAAAGGAAATGGCTCCAATATCTTTGCCAAGAAAACCCCAAGTAGGGTCACAAAGAGTTGGGCATGACTGAAAAATGATTGAATGACAACAAATAGCAGCCATTTAATAGGCATGTCAGATAAATCAGTGAACTGCTCAGCTGTTTCCATCATATCTGACTCTTCATGACTCCCTCTGGGGTTTTCTTGGCAAAGATACTGGAGTGGTTTACCATTTCTTTCTCCAGTGGTTCCTATATACAAATCTAAATGTTGAGAGACCCAAAGATAACTAAGAGGTGGTCAATCCAATAAGATGCAGGTTCCTTGAGGGCAGGTCCTGTTTTTGTCTCTACGTCCCCAGTGCTGAGCCAAGCAGGCCCTTTTAAAAACATTTATTGAATTGAATTTCTGGGAGCTCATGATATATATTAGGGAGACTGAAGGCAGGGATGCAGACAGAGAAAATTCACATTAGACTGGACATTGGTGCTGTGAGATCGGATCGGCGAGAACGGTATTATGTAATCACTGAAATGAGACACCTCCCAGCAACTTACCCCAGACTGCCATGAAAACAGCAAAAAAGACGGTAGCTCCGTTGTCAAAAAGATGGGTTACCTGAGGACAACAGGAGTCACGAGTTAGTTTATTTATGAAGATCAAGTAATTCTGATACACGAGGTTTTTTTTTTATTATTTTCTTTTCTGGTTTCTGTAAGAGCCTGGGTGGTGGCTCAGTGACTTTTCAAGGGCCAAATTCGGAAGGGGGCACCCATAGCCATGAAGAGGTAGGGACAAGAAATGGTTGAAGTCCTTTGGAGGGAAGGAGACGTTGAATCCGGAGTCACTGGCACATTCTTGGAAGATTAAGGATCACATGTTTATCATGCACTGCGTGCTTCCCATTTTATAAGGATCTCATGTTTTAATAAGAGGAGGGTCACCAGAATGTCTACTACAAATTTATGTTACACAACCTCAAGTGGGCCCTCACTGCTGCCAGGCAACCCTACTCTGCCTCCCCCATCAGCTCCCTCTTCCTCTCTCCACAGTGACTCTCCCACACCTTCTCATCCCTCCTCAAACCTCCCATGATTCCCCCTGCCCTCACCCTTCAGCTGAGAATTTTGTCTCATATTTTATAGAAAAAATTGAGACCGTTTGCTGTGAGTTCCCTCATTTTTCCTCTTCCTCATCTCCTATCACTCAGATGCCTTCACCAATATCTCCTCCTTTACCCCTGCCTTACCTGACGAGGTGGCCCACTCCTTACCACAGCTACCCTTCTACTTATTCAAGAGATCCCACTCCATGAACAAGACCCTCCATCTCTCAGCTCCAGGCGTTCTCTCTGGCTGTCCTCTGTACTTGGAGTGCTCTTCTGTCTCCACTCTCACTACTGACCTCCCCGGCTTCCTTTAGGTCCCAACTCAAATCTCACCTTTTACAGGAAGTCTTCCTCACCCCCTGTTAATTCCATTGCCTTCCCTCTTTGGTTATTTCATATATGTCTTGTACATTAGCTTGTTTGTACATATTTGTTTGCGTGTTATCTCCCCCATTAGAATGTAAGCTCCTTGATGGCAGGGACAGTCTTCTGCCTCTTTTTGTATCCCTAGCACTTAGCACAGTGCCTGGCACATAGTAGGTACTTAATAAATGTTTGATTGATTGATTGAGGAGGATAAGTTCAAGTAACAACGGATATTCAGCTGGTGGGCGAAAAAAAAGCAAAACAAAACTTGTGTGGGGTCAGGCAGGGGAGGTAGAGGAGACATATTAATTGGCTCCAAATATTTGCAGGGTTATCATATGGAAAGGGCCTGGCCTTGTTCTGCTTGGTGCTAACACACAAAACTAAGAGCAGCGGGAGGCAGTTGTAGTGAGGTAGATGCGGTTTGATGTCAGGGAAAACTCTAGAACAAATGGTGCTGCCCAGAAATGGAATGGGCTTCCTCCAGAAGCTAGTCAGTCAATAAACACTCATTAAGCACCTACTGCTTTGTGTTTGGTGGGCAGCTAAATGATGCAGTGCATAGAGCACCAGGCCTGGAGTCAGGAAGACCTATTTTCATTACTAGCTGTGTGACCCTGGGCAAGTCACTTCACCCTGTTTGCCTCAGTTTCCTCATCTGTGAAATGAGCTGGAGAAGGCAATGGCGAACCACTCCAGTGTCTCTGCCAAGAAAACCCCAAATGGGGTCATGGAGAGTCAGACAGGACTGAAAATGATAACATGTGCCAAGCAATGTGCTATGCACTGGGGATATAAAGAAAGGCAGAAGACAGGCCCTGCCCTCAAGGAGCTCTGGGTATAATGGAGGAGACACCATGCAGAGAACTGTACAAACAAGTTAAGTTACGTAAAGGATGAATTGGAAATAATTAACGGGGGAAGGCACTAGAATTAAGGGGGATGGTTCCCTTCTTGGAAGTCTTCAAGCGGATGGATGACCTCTCACTAGGCGTATGTTTTTCAGATTATGAGTGAGTGATGCAGGGGACTTGAAGTCAGAGGGCCTGGGTTTAAATGATGGTCTGGCTACTCTGTGACCTTGGACAAGTTACTTTACTTTTCTGGGCCTTGGTTTCCTAGTCTGGAAAATGAGGGAGTAAAAAGAGATGGTCTCTCAGCTCCCTCCCAGCTAGAAATCTGCGGTCCTGTAAGAACCACTGAGGCCTCTTCTAATGCCAGAATTCTGAGATTCGAGGACACCACATCTCATTAGGAAACAGTAGGGAAGTCAGGTGGTGAATGCCACATACAGGGCAGTCTATACCAGATGTTGACTTGGTTTTCCTCAGGAAGTGTGGGACTCTTGAAGAATATTGTTCCCTCTTTCATTGATTTCCCATATTTAGACAGTATTCTGGAATCATGGAGCTCAAGGGATCTGAGATGTTAAAGGCAACGTGAGACAGCAGAAAGGACGCTCAGCTTGGAGTCTGAGAATCTGGGTTTAAATCTCGGCTCATCACTTCTCTTTGGACCTTGGCTTCCCTGTCTGCACAACGAGGAGGTTGGACCCCATGACCCCGAGGTCCTTCCCAGCTCTCAATCCCACTCTAGCAGAACAGATTTGGAGCTGAAAAGGTCATGACTCTGGTGTCAGGACCATGGTTCAGATTCTGGCTCTGTTACTGCCTGAGTGACCTTGGGCACTGAGCCTTTCTGGGCCTTAATTTCTTACTATATAAAATTAGGGGGTTGGATTAGATAGTATCTGAGGTCCTTTCCAGCTGAAATCTGTCATTCTAAAATCTAATCCAAAAGTTCTTTACCTGAAGTCCATAGACCGCCCTGCTCCCCAGTCTGTAGTTAGATTTGGTAGGGGAGGTCTGTGAACTTAAATGGGGAAAAATAACACTATTTTGGTTTCCTTTTGAATTCGGTAACTTCATTTTATTCATTTAAGCACATTATTCTGAGAAGGGCTCCATAAGTTTAACCAGACTACCCAAGAGGACCTGAAACAAAAGAGTTTGAGAACCCCTGATCTGACCCAAGGCTTGTGCTTCTTGGTTGAGACTCAGGTACCTGCCCAGGGTCACATAAATATCTCATCATTGGCATTTTCATGCCCGTCCTGTTTCTGACACACAATGGCCATATCACTCTGGACAAATCACTTACACTAAACTCTCTGAGTCCTAGATAACTCCCTCTCGAGGGCAGAGTAGCAGCACTGCATAGCAAGAGTTCCTTCTCTCAATAAAATCACACTTCCATGATAAAAACAACAGCAACAAAAGCAACTTTGATTCATAGTAAGAACTTCTTTTTTTGTTACTTAGTCATTTTTCAGTCATGTCTGATTCTTTGTGACCCCACTTAGGATTTTATTGGCAAAGATCCTGGAGTGGTTTGCCATTTCCTTCTCCAGTTCATTTTGCAGATGAGGAAACAGAGGCAAACAGGGTTAAGTGACTTGCCCAGGGTCACACAGCTAGTAAGTATCTGAAGCCAGATTTGAACTCAGGCCTTCCTGATTCCAGGCCTGGCACTCTATCCACTGTGCCACCTAGCTACTGCAAGACCTTCCTTACTCCTATTATAATGTAAGTTCATTGAGGGCAGGGATTGTAGTGGTTATAAATATCTATGATGGAGGTAGCTGGATGGCACAGTAGATAGAGCACTGGCCCTGGAGTCAGGAAGACCTGAGTTCAAATCTGACCACAGAAGCTTGACACTTATTAGCTATGTGACCCTGGGCAAGTCACTTAACCATGACTGCCTTGGAAAAGAAAAACATATCTATGCTATAATGGATATAAATATCTACATCTATGTCTATACCTATATCTATTTCTATATCTATCTATATCTATATCTATATCTACATCTATATATATATATACATATATATCGAGTGCTTGGCACATAGTAATCATTAAATGAATATTTCAGTCATTCACACAAAGAATATTTTGAAATAATCTTTTAATGCAAGTGCCTGCCTTCAGTTGATTATCTCCTCTTTATCCTGTACATATCTTACTGTCCCTCATTGTTTGAAGGCTGTCTCACCCATTAGACTAGGAGCTTCTTAAGGCTGGAACTGGGGTTTTTGTTTTTTGTTTTGTTTTTTCTTTGTATCAGAAGGGCTTTGCACAGTGCCTGGTGCATAGGAGGCTCTGAACATATGCTTGGTGACTCAAATACGTTCCGTGTAAACAGAGGAGGCTTTGTTTTCCAAAGATCCCCGACTTCATACTTTCTTCATATTAAAAAAGCCGTGACTGTTTCCCAAAGCGGGGCTGAGCTAGCTAAGCCACGGAAACCATCATTTTGACCCATATTAATCCTGCTGAATAACAGCTATATTTATCCTTTACACATAACAGAGAGACAGCTGGGGATTTCTCTACCACTTGGATCACTTCTGTAGTGGCGAGGGCTTGAGGAGAAGAGAGATCTCTGCCAAGCCGAGGGTTTCTAGCCTGTGTAAATCACGCCAGCACCAATGCCAAGCTGGAATGAATGATGCTTCTTGGCACAGGAGGGTGGTTTTTTTTTTTAATGCTCCTATATAAAACATACATTATTATCCCTGTGAGAATGAGGCTACTGCAAAGAGGACGTTTCCTGCTCTAATAAGGTGGAATTGATTTCAGCTTCTTCCTCAAGTTGGTTCTCCAAAGGGAGAACAGCTTATTGAACATGGGAAGAGAGAGAAAGCACTGAGATCTGTGTACTCATCTGCAGTAGACACCATGAGAGCGCATACTAGATGTATAAATGAAAATGCATTGATTAGGCACTTACTGTGTTCCAGGCACTACGCACTGGAGATACGAATGCAAAAAAGTCAGTCTGCTTTCGATGAGAGAAGTCTGATTTTATGGTTTTGACCTGCCTTCTGTATGCTTTTGTTGTTTTGGGCACTAAGATTTCATCAGATTTCCCACTTTGTAGGGAATCCCCAGGGGGGAAACTCTTTCCCCTGATGCAGATTGGGAGCTCCTTTGTAATTTATTTATTTATTTAAATTAATTAATTATCCGTAATACATTTGTAATTTACAGTCAGTCTTAGAGAGTTGCCTCGGGGTGCTGAGACTTGTCCAAGGTCACGCAGCTCTTTTGTGGGACTTGCACCTCTGCGTAATACGCCTCAGAACATTCTAGCAGCACATAGATCATCCCATTTAATCCTCACGATAACCCCCACGAGGTGTTGGAGTTATTATGGTCACCATTTTACAGCTGGGAAAACTGAGGCCGAGAGGGGTTAACTGAATTAGGATCATGGTTCATGGCTGCTATGGTGCCTCAGAGCCCATTGCGCATCAGAACACACATAATGTTCTCTTCCATATCCATCAGGCGCTCTGACAGAGCATTAATACTTGCAAAGCAGTTTACAGAAATCACCGCGTGTGAGCATCCCAAGAGTGTGGCAAGGCACGTGATGCCCCCTCAGTTCACAGGTAAGGAAACTGAGGCCCGGGGAGGAGAAGGTGACAGAGGGAATGAAGAGAAGACTCGGGATTTGCTGCAGATTAGAGCCCAGGCTTTCCCGGTCCCCAGTTCAGCGGTGCAGCAGCAGCATCACCTGGGGATGTTGACTAGAAGCAGCAGAAATCATAGTCTGCACTGATGGTGGACCAGTATACAAAGTCGAGGGGCAGCTAGAGGGAGCCATAGTGCACAGAGCAACAGGCCTGGAGTCAGGAAGACACAAGTTCAAATTCAGCCTCAGACACCTTCTAGGTAAGTGACCCTGGCCAAGTCACTTCACCTTGTTTGCCTCAGTTTCCTCACCTGTAAAATGAGCTGGAGAAGGAAATGGTAAACCACCCCAGGATCTTTGCCAAGAATACCCCAGAGGGGGTCACGATGAGTTGGACACAAAAACATACAATGTTGACTGGTAGACTGAATCCGTTACTGGTTTCAATTAGACAGAGTCTTTAATGGAACCACCCCAATCTTTTCAATGACCGTTTTTAGGATCATAGAACCAGAAGGGCCTCAAAGGTCATTTAATCCAGCTTCTTCCTTTTACATATGGGGAAATGGAGGCAGAGGGAGTGGAAGTGACTCAGAAGTGGAAGAGACCTCAGACGTTACCTATTCCAAGCTGTTTATTTTACCAGTGAGGAAACTGAGATACAGAAAGGTGAGGTGACTTACCCAAGGTCACAAAGGTAATCGGCATCCGAGGTGGGATGTGAACCCAGACCCCTGACTCCAGAGGCAGTGCTCTCTCTCCCTCACCATCCTGCCATTTCAATCTACCCGTTCTTATGATGGTTTTTTTTTTTCGTTCTACTAAGCCCACGTTCAAGACCAGCTCTTGGATGAAGAATGCAAACACATGTCTAGTTCTCACCTTGGTAGGCATTCAGAAACAACAAATCAACACAGTCCTTTAGAGAAAACAAAGGGTTTGTTCTGTTGTTTCCAATACATCTCCTCTCACAACTTTTATGACGGATATTCTCTCAGAAAACATCACTCAGACCTTATCAGAGACTTTCTCTTTTAATGTAAAAGCAGCGGCAGAAGGGACTGACCTGAGATTTCTGAGCAAGAGCGGATTTGAAACCCGCTCCTTATGGCTCAGAATCTGCCCCTTCAACTTACTCATGTTATGGATGGAACTTTTCTGTCCTCATCCACCTGAAATGTTCCTGAATCCCACTGGGATGCCCCTCTTTCTCTGTGGAATCGAGTTTTCTTTATACATTTCACCTCTCTCACCACATTTGCCAAAGTTAGCATGCTTTCTTTTGTTCTACTCTGGGCACCCTGAGCACTCAAATTTACTCTCAAAGGCAGCAAGGTGGCATAGAGTGCTGGACCTAGGGTCAGGGAGACTCGAGTTCAAATCCTGCTGGAGACACTTAATAGCTGTGGTGGCCTGGGAAAGTTCTTTAACCTTTCTTAAACTTTATCTTACCCTCAGTTTCCTCATCTGTAAAATAGGGATAGTAGTGCTGCTGTAAGAGTCAAATGTGATTTTATATCTCTCCATAACTCTATATTTGTCACATGTAATGTATACCTATTATATGCTATATTTACATTGTGTAATAATAGATATACACACAACAAATATATATTTATCATATATAATACATACATATATATACACTGGGCCTTATTTCTCATCTCTCAAATGAGGGGTGGGATCTGAGGATCCTTCCTGCTCTAAATCTATGATTTTATGAGCTTGCTCTTAACTTTCTCTTTCTTTCTTTCTATCCTCCTTCCTTCCTTTCTTTTCTTTCCTTCCTTCCTTTCTTTTCCTTCCTTCCTTCCTTCCTTTCTTTTTCTTCCTTCCTTCCTTCCCCAGGCAAGCAGACAAATAGAGGAAAACACTATAGAGTAGCTAAGCCCTTCCACTTTGCTTGAGAAGAAAGTATAGCTCAGCCACATCAAGAAAACACAACCTAGAGAGAACATGCAAAATTGGGATTTACCTTGGCATAAACACAGCTGTCTGACAGCCTCATGAAAGGACAATATTTATCACACACGGGACACATGATGATATCGGTAGCTTGGCAGACTTCTTTACTGGAAAAGAGAACAGACAAGGGCTGCTATTTTCTCATACAAGTGTAATTTTGCTCCAACTTCTCCAGGACATTCTATTGATAAACTGTATCTGGTCGATTAAATTTCTGCTTTCACAAGCTTTGCAACCTTTTCTGCTGGCGATGGTAAAAATCGTGGTGCCTGCACATTTTAATAATGTGATAAACCACCTTATTTATGATTGTGTCTGCTCAGTTTTACATATTAATAAGCTAACATCAGAAAAATATATGAACCAACATACTTAGAGTTATGCACAAAATTACCCAAATTTGATCATAAAAACTCTGCACGGCTGAAACAATTCTCTCTCTCTGTGTCACTCTTTCTCCCCTCTCTCCCTTTCTCTGTGTGTGTCTCTGCATCTGACTAGCAGTAGGATCCATTTTCAATGAATGATGGCTGAAGAAAAACTAAAGGCTATGGATTTTGGCTTAAATAAATAAATAAGCAAGCAAATGAATGAATGAATAAATAGAAAGTGCTATCTTATTCATCTAATCCTCCAGGGAGTGTTTTTAAAGCACATGAGGTACTCAAGGCTCCAAGTACTCTAGGCTTTGGAGATGCAAAAACAAAAGGAAAAACAGTCTTGACCTCACAGAGCTTACATTCTAATAGGGCACAGAACATAATAAAAGGATTTATTTTATTAATCCTTAATAAAAGGATTTGTTTTGTAAATCTTGAACTCAGTCAAAAGGCCACACCCAAGGACCTAGAAGGACCCTTTTATTAAGGGGATTTGTTCTGTGAAGTTTGGATTCCGTAAAAGGGTGGAGGACCTAGAAGGGGACCTTGAGGACCTAGAGGGCCACATGTGGCCTCGAGGCTGCAGGTGCTTGTATAGGGGATAAGCAGACATACACAAGGTTTTGCTGATCCAGACCTTTGGCATGCATTCAGGAGTAGGGACTGGGTCTGTGCTTGCATCGGTATGGGGAATCTCAGGTTGAGGAAACTCTCTGTACCAATGCAGATACTTATCTGGTCACCTCAACAAAACATTTTCTTAAAAATCAGAGAAGAAAACAAAAAAAGTGCAGAAGGAGAGATGAACAAATACAGCAGATTTGTTACTCAGTTAGATTTTCAGCATGCTGAGTCCCAAAAGTCTGAGTGAGGTTTGAAACCACTGCAGCTTCCAAATGCATTCAGACTTTTGGGATACCCAGTATAGCCATATGTAGGGTTGAGACTGAACCTTTATATGTGTGTGTGTGTGTGTGTGTGTTTTATCTATCTATCTATCTATCTATCTATCTATCTATCTGTCTGTCTGTCTGTCTGTCTATCTATCTTAGAGGGAACTCCTGGGTGAGGACACTTGCCCTCCCCGTGCAGGTCTGCAACTTCCCTGCTATTTAAAATCTTAAGAGTTGTTCAGAGGGATGAAAGGTTGGGGATTTGCTGAGGCTCACACAGCCGCTCTGTGTCAGAGATGGAACTGGAACTCAGGCCCTCCTGGCTTCCAGGCCCGCTGGGGTCACACGCAGAGAGGAACCAGAGGCACCAAACTGCACAGGAGGACCCTGCCGGCTGCGGGCTGGCTTAGAAAGCCACATAGTAACATCTCCCGTGTTCTAGTGTGCTCTGATTTAGTTTAATATTTCCCAGTTACATCTTAATGCGGTTCTGGCAGCGTTCAGGAGTGCTGTGGGCAGGGGATGGTTTGTCTTAGCCTCTTCTCACTGTCACCCACCTCCTTTCCTGTGTATATGTACATTTATATATGTATGTGGACATACATGTGTATGAGCATAGGCACGTGTATGTGCACAATGTTATAGCCAATTATATGTGTATACATGTACATACATGTATGTATATATGTATTTAAATATACACACATGTGAGTAATGTGTACCTAGGAGGACAGAGAGCTGGTCTGAAAGCCAGAAAGATTTGAGTCCAGTTTCCAACTCTGAGGAGGTTGTGTGTCTGTGAATATACACACATACATACATGTATAGAGACATGCATGTACATTTACACAAGGCACATGTGTACACACATGTATATACACCTGCTAAATGCTTGTTGTGCAGCTCTGACTCACTTAAATGTCATATATATTTGTATGTATATGTGTATATATACAGATATGTGTACACACAAAGATGAATAATCTGAAATACACATTTAGAAAGGGCCTACTATGTGCCAGACACTATGTTAAATGCTTTGCCAATATTATCACATTTGATCCTTTCAACAACTCTTTGAGGTGGGTGCTGCTACTATCCCCATTTTACAGCTAAGGAAATGGAGGCAAATGGAGGTTAAGTGACTTGTTCAGGGTCACACAACTGGGAAGTGTCGGGCCATATTTGAACTCAGGTCCCACCGGCTCCAGGCCCAGAGCTCTAGGCACTATGGCACCACCAGCTGCCTCTATATATCACATACACAGTATAATCTGAAGAGGGAGAGAGCACTTAATAATTAGAGGGCTCAGGAAAGACTTCTCATGGAAGGTGATTTACTGAGGCTGAAACTAATTCTAGGAGGTGGAGATGAGGAGGGAGTGCATTCCAGTTTGAGGAACAGATAGTCTGTGCAAAGGCCTGCAGACTGGATGCGGAGAGCAGCTTGCTTCTAGGGGCTGATTTGTGCCACCAGGCTGGTAGAGTGTCTATAGGGGAATACTGTGTAACAGCCTTGGGAAGGTTAACTGGATCCATATGGAGAAGGTCTGGGAGGCAACTAAGTAGTGACATGGATGGAGCATTGAAAGCTGGAGTCAGGAAGACTAGAGAGTAACTTGTACCTAACACACGCTAGGTGTGCGTGACTCTGGGCAAGCCGCTTAATCGCAGCCTCTGCATCTATAAAATGGAGATGACTGGATTCACTGGATTCACAGGACTGTTTTACAAACTAAATAAAGAAGCGTATGTAGAGTGCTTTGCTAAACCTTAAAGTGCTATGAAAATGTTAGCTATTGTTACTGTTATTGCTTTTGTTGTTTAAAAGTCAAGCTGATTTGAAAGACTTGGGAACTGATCAATGCAATGACCCTCCACAATTCCAAAGGACTCCAGACACACCGTCTACCTCCTGGTAGAGAAGTGAAGGATTCAGAGATAGGGAGAAGCCCCCCTCCCTCTCTGTGTTCTTCTCTCCCCTTCCCTCTTTCTTTCTCTCCTTCCTTCCTTTCTTCTCATCTTTTATTTTCTTCTTTTTTCAACATGGCTCATATGGGAATTTGTTGTGCATGATTCTACGCATTTGTAACAGGGTTTGTTTTTCTTGCCTTCTTAATGGGTGAGTGAGGGGAAGGAGAGAATCCAGGACTGAAAATAAAAGTGAATTTAAAAAGCTGAATTTGTATTTTTTTTCCTGGAGGTCCTTGGGTAGGCAGTGCCCCAGCCCAGCAAGAGAGTCAGGACAATAACTTCAGCAGCTGGGTGATAGTGGATTGAAGAAGGTAAAGACTGGAGACCTGCTGGTGAACAAATGATTCTCACTTTTCAAAGGTATATTCATTTTTTAGGCTGACACCAAAATTTGAGCTTGGGGACTATATCGCTTTTGTCTCTGTATCTCTTGAACCTGGCATAACACCTTGCATAGAGTAGGGGTTTAATAAGTGTTTGTTGCATTGAATTAGATTTCTGGAATTATTTTTTACTCTTTCCTGATTATAGGAAAGACTTAAATTCCCTTCAAATCCCCAAACTTCTCTGGTTTGCAAAGAGGTGTTTCTCCTTGGAATAGGAGTGAAAGGTCTTTTTGTAAAAATGGGCAGCATAATAATAATAAGAAAAAAAATAATAAAATGATAATGATGATGATAACTAACATTTATGTAACACTTTAAGGTTTGCAGAGCATTTTACAAATGTTATCTCATTTTTACTATGAAAGGATTTAATTGCTACCTCATAGAAAAGTCAAACTTCCCTATTTTAAACACACTGGGTAATTATTTTGTGAGTTGTTAAAGCTACAAACATTTCCAGGATCTGCTGTTTTACCTGGGAGACAATGTCCTTCATAGAGATTGATTATTATTCTTTTGTGATAGAGTTGATGGTCTTGGATAACTTCTGGGGCTGAAAAACAGCCTGTGGCCAGCCTGGGGTTGAATGGCTGTGCTTTCAGCTAGTCTGGTCTTGAAGGACCAGGTGTCTTCCATTACTGGGGCCAAGCTTGAAGACTTTCTAGAGGGTAGGACCAAGCTGCTGGACCTAGAGCTCTAGGAAGATGGACTTGTGTTTAACATACAGTCACCCCCAGGTCACTATGGGGCATTAGAGGAAGAAAGCCACAAATACCCAATCTGCTCTCCCTTCTTACCTGACTTGGCAGTGGTCCAGAGTGGTAACTCCATACAAAAAGACAAAGAGTCCAATGAAGGCAGCTGGGAAGAGCATTCCTGTGTACCAGCCCAACCAGGCAAAGTAGAGACCGATCTTCTCACCAAAATACCGCCTGTGTAAAACACAACCACCAGCAAAGTCAGGCTCATGGGTCAATTTCCTGCAGAACTGTTCAAAAAAGCAGAATTGTGGGATTCTGTAAAGCTTGAGGGCTTGGAGGGAAGTGACTTGCCAAGATCACAAAGGCATTAAATGTGATAGTATATGAAACAATCCTCGTGCTCCTCAGGCGGCTTACTGAGGGCCATGTGCATTACTGATTTAGACTCTCTGTGTGAATGTCATCTTAGAGGGACTTGGGAAGGACCTGGATTTCAATCCTGCCTTAGACAGCTATGAGTTGTGTGGCCTGGGGCAAGTCACAAATCCTAGCTAAGCCTGTTTACTCATCTGTAAGGCAGGGATAGGCTATGACCAGGGATTGGATCTATGATTTTCCTCATCTGTGAAATGGGCTAAATAATACCTTTAGCTCTTGCACTGTAGAAATAGGAACCAATTAGATAATTGATGTAAAATGCTTGGCAAACCTTCCAGCACTTCTTTAAATGTCCCCCATGCCTCTGACATATAATTTAATCCTTATGAAATAATATAAGTCTATGGGACTTATCTCTTGTGTCTAGATAATATAGAATAAACCCACCCAACCTAGGAAAGAAGCTGATGCTTCTAAAAATGTGGTCTAGGGCTCTAATTTAATTGAGATAAGGAAATTCCTGTACAGAAAGTACCAGTGGAGATAAACCCTGCGGGGCATCTTCTGTTCTTAGAGAGCTGCTTGGGGGCATTGAGAGGTTGTGACTTTCCCAGAAGTACGGGGGAGATTTAGTCTTCCCCACTGACTTTTTCTCTGGTACAGGCTAGTTCTACCTACTATGCCGCCCTTCTTACCTGTGACTCCTTTTTAAAAAAATTCAGTCTTGTTTTATTTTTGGTTCCAAATTCTCTTACTGTCTCTTCTCTCCCCCTGCTCTGCCCACTGACTCCTTTCTGAAGGTGGAGTCAAGGCACTGGAGGGTTGGCACTTGACTCCGTGACACCCATTGATGATACGGCATCTGATCCCCAATATTCTGGACTATTTTGAGGTTTGCTGCTTTAAAACATTATCAGTGTTTATGATGACTCCTAATTATTCACATTTTTAATGTTTTGCTGTCTGAGTGCTCAGCAATATGAGACAAAGTTTGCTGAGCTGCAATGGAAAAAACATATTGTTATATCTTTTCCTATTCAAATTCACAGGCTTCCTAATTTAGAATTAGAAGGGAATTTTGAGGTCATTGAGGAGGAAACTAAAGCAAACAGAGATTAAGTGAATTGCTCAGGATCACAAAGCTAGTAAGTATCTGAGGCAGGATTCGAACCAGGTCTTTTAGATTCAAACCTCCAAACTTCTCTCATTATATACCACGTCACCTGCTCATTCTTCTTCTTCTCTGCTATGGACAATCACTCCTCTCTGGAGAATCTTCCACAATGTAATCTATCTACTTTGGTCCCTAGTGAAACTGCCTGATTTCCTTAGGTTTTTTTTTTTTTTTTTTTTGGCACTGATATTATGCATCATCTTAGGATAATATATTTAGAGCTAGAGGGAGCCCTGGTGGTCTACTTGGTTCAATTCATACTTCAAGCCATTGCCTTGATGGCATCCCCAATGTGTGGTCATTCACTCTCTGCTTAAAGAACCCACAAACTCACTCCCTTCCACGGTAGCCCTTTCCACTTTTGAGAAGTTCTAATTATTATAACAGCGTAAGTCAGCATGGGAGAAGTGGACAGAAAACTGGCCTAAGAGTCAGGATAACTTGGGTTCAAGACTAGCCTTTGAAACCTATGAGCTGTGTGACCCTGGGAAATTCACTGGGACTCAGTGACAACTGGATTGATGGACCCCAATGGACTAGGAAGCATGCATACTAAGGCTAACAAACCCAGAAATCAGGGATTATTCTCTTCCCTCTCTGCCCCACTCCAGCCTCTTACTGCACAATCGTTAAGAGTTAAGTATCTTAGGTTCCTGCCCCTCATTCCTGATTCTTTACTAGGCAATTCAGAAAATATCCTCTCAGCCAAGGTCTGGATGACTCCACTACTTTAGGACAATGCTGTCTCCTCTCCACATCTGAACCCTGAGGGGTTCAGGGCCTCTGCGTGGAATGCGAATGCCACGGCACCACCCTTCTGTGTGCTGCCTGAACACTGACTACTCCCCATTGGCATCAGTTCTCCCCCTTGCCCCGTGAGCAGCAGTAAAGTTTGTCAAATGCTCTCCCTGTGTGGTGCTGCTCTTCTCCATCAAAACCATTCCCTTCTTTTGTGAACTACACAATGCCTCAGGTGACTCTTCAATACTCAAAGTGGCCAAAAACTTGAGGGGCTGATCTGCATTGATGGAAGGACTTTTCTCATCTGGAAATTCCTTCCTGCAATGAACCTGGGTCAAGTCCAAGTGTAACATGTAGAATACAGTATTGCAAACATGCTTTTAGTACCTCATCTAGTCCAATATGTTTGTTTTATACATGAGGACTGTAAGTTTCCCATGAGCTATGGATCATGGCTCTCAAGCTAGAAGGGATGCCAGAGGCTGTCTTGTTTTACCCGCTCACTCTACAGAGAAGGGCACGGGTCCCAGAGCTCTCTGTGTGGGGAGCGATAGAACCAGTTGTTTTCTAACCGCTGTCTGTTCATCCATTTCTTGTCCGACATTAAAATTACCCCCGTGAACGTGACTTCTCCCCTCTGTAGAACTTGTGCCTTGTTTTGTGAAAATGCTGTTTCCAACCCCAAAGTTAACATTTTTTTTTCAAACTGGAATTTTTCCAGTGATCTTCTTTTTACTGTAAAATTGTTGTTCAAAGGAGCATAGCTTTAGGGCTTGAAAAGACCCCAGAGGCCGCTGAGTTCAACCTTCTCCAAAAGATGATGAAGAAACAGATTAGGAAAGGTTAATTGCCCCAGGTCACATGGGGAGCAAGTGCATGGGTGTGCGATTAGAACCCATGTCCTCTGACCTTCAGAGCCAGAATGTTTTCCTTTTCTGGCATCACGCTGACCTCCGAGGTCCCTTCTGGCTCTGAGATTCTGTAAGCTAGATTGTAGATGTATTGAAAGCTAGGACCATTTCCTTGATTTCTTTTTTCTTCCTCATATTTCACTGCTGTGCACACACTTAATACACACTTGTTGGTGGACTTTAAAAGTCCAAATTGAAACTGTGATCATGGACCCATATTTTTCTGCCTTTTCGCAGTTTTCTCTAACATTACTCAGTGTAATGTCATCCTACCAGGGCAAAGGCTGGGGAGGATTTAGTGCCTTTGCTCTCTTAAATCCTGCTTTATAATACCCATGTCGAGTTGACTTGAAACTCCATGGCTTTGTCTGATGCAGAGGAGATTGATTCAAAGGGGAGGGATTTCATCTTAGCAAACATTTCCCATCCATATAGATCATCAGACTCATTTCCCACTTGCACAAAGAAGAGGCTTAGAATATATCAATCCCTTTTGATCACCATGAGTCAACAGTTTCAATGGTAGCAAGCACCTGGGTATCATCAGTGACTCCCCAGGGAAATGAAAATGCAAATGGGGCTGCATTCCCTACCTGCTTCACTTTTACTTCCACAGTAAACTCAGAACTAATTCAGCAGGTTTAAGAAACGATCCTTGGCTCTTTCCATAAGAAATCCTGAAAATTGGGCCAGTTGGTACTTAAGGCTAGTAATCAGTTTCCATATAGTAACAGAGAATGTGTCTGTGGTTTCACTGGCATAGGGAACTCCCAGGAAAGGAAATTCTCTCCAGAAATGCAGATTAGCACCTACTTTGCCATTTACAGTTTTAGAGAGTTATGAGTATCTTGGCAAGAGTCTTAAGAACCTAAATTTGCTTACATGCAGACCAGGACAGCCTTAAAACTGAATTGACAGCCTTCTGTGAATAAAATGACCAGTTTACCATGGACTTCCAAAGCCTATGGATCACATAGTAGTATTCTCAAAGGCACTGTGGTGAGAAAACATACTATCTATGCCATCAGGGATAAATCAGTTAATTTCTCAGTGCTCCCAGGAGACTCTTTAAGATCTATATCACTGAATGGAGTTTCCACACCAGAATTTCCTTTTATCAATGAAATCACAGGTCTAGGCAGAACACACACATGAACACAACTATTCCTCTGTGGACAACAGAGATAAGATTAAAAGATTACTCTTATATCTAGGATCCATCTTTGGTATGGCACTATCTTGTCAATTAAGGAAATAGTGCTGAAAGCATGAAGTAGGAAACTCTGATCCCCTTGCCCCTGATGGAGAATGGCATGAGACCCAAAGTGGTGTACAGATTTCTGCATTATGGGACTGTACCAGTTCTGCTCATAGCCCTTCATTAGCAAACAAACACTGTCCTCCACATAGGAGTCCCTTCAGTAAGAGGGAAGACAATGAGAAAAGAAGCATCCCTTCCGCCATGATGAATTATCTCTCTTTAGCTGAGGTCAACTGGGTGAACTCGACATCTGGGGATCTCAGCTACTTTTTTTCTTATACAGACGGCTACTTCTACCCGCTGTTGCTCTCTTACCATTGGATCTTGGACTATGTTTGGCATTTGTGGTCATAAGCAGGTCAGAACTCACCGTATGAGATCCAAGGGCTGGTATTTATACCACACGCCCCAGGAGGCCCAGCACTCATATAGCAGGTGCCTGTGGTTTTCTGCTCCATGAGTTCTAATAGAATTTTTACTTCTGTAACTTCCCTAGGATTGGGAAAAAAAAAGAAAGAATGTCAATGCTATTACTGACAAGGGGCACCAAGTAATATCGTTTAACAACATTCCTGTCTGACATCAGGTTATAAATATAAGAGCTGTGTGAGCGTAACATCAAAAAACTAATTCCATTCAACAAACATGTATTATGTACCTACTATGTGCTGGGATTGGGGATACAAAGACAAAACCCAAAGCATTCCCTGCCTTCAAGGAGCTTACGTTGTACTAGTGGTATGGGATATATACTCAGATAAATGCCAAATGTTGGGAATATAAAGAAGAGTGTTTACTCCCCAACCAAAAGTGTTGCTTACAACACTGGATCATTAAGCTACTTGTCCAGGGTCACACAGCTAGAATATGTTGGAGGTAGTATTAGAACCCAAGTCTTCCTGACTCCCATTTACTTTGGTATATACTAATATACTCTGATGAAATATACACTAAGTTAAATAATGTAATATGAAGAAATATAGAGTAACAGAACTGCATGTCTCTGAATCACTTTCTTTTGCTTTGAAAATACCTTATCTGTAATTTCAGGGTTTACTTTAGCAATATTTCTGTCATAGATTTGAATAAACTGCTTTTTTTCAATATTCCATTTGGCTTCCATGCTCAAGAGCCAGCCACAGTTTATGTTGTAGGAGAGCCTTTTGGAAACAGGGATTACATTTCTTTTGTATGGAAAAAGCTGATCAGTCAGTTGCAGCACAGATATGATATATACATAAATAGAATGTAACAAATATCATTTCTATTCTAGTCCTGGATTAAAACTGGACCGTACCATGTTATTTAATGCTAGCTTAAAACGTTGGTATAAAGTTGGAGATACTGTATGTAAAGAACGCACAAGAGTGTCCTTGGCATCAGCAAGACCTAGATTTAGGTCCTCACTCTGACAAATGTTGGGCAAGTCCTTTAAACTTTTGGTCTCCCAGATGCTCTAATATTTAGATTACAGATGAGTTGCTGATCTGCATTTGGGAGAGGAAGTCCCTCACCTGGAGGTTCCCTATATTGAAGGAATCATAGGTTTTCTAGTCATCCCTGCAAAAGTGCTACAATAAACCAAAGATCCTGATTTCTATAAGCTGTGCATAAACATTAGTCTTAGTATTTTATGATCATACCATAAAAAAGAGTTATTTTTTTGGGGGGGGGAACTAAACCTGTGATTTTACTGGTGTTCTTGATGCAGAAATCACTCTGTGAAATGTTGACCTTCTCTACTACATAGAGTCTTAGAAAGTTTCCAGGGGCATTCAGGGGTTGCATGTCCTAGGGTCACACACTCAGACTATGTGGAAGGTGGAACTTGAATCTGGGTCTTCCTGATTCCAAAGCCTGCTCTCCATCTACATACCAGGCTGTCTCTACAATACTATGATGGTGGTGGGGGACTGGACAATGAGACTCAAATCATGGGAGGGAGTGTGTTTGGAGAGCCTGCTTCTGGAAGGTCATGATGGAATGGAGTGGGGAAGGCAGTGAGCTCTCCATGTCAAGGCATGCATAGGCTTTCTCAGATGTGCTGAAGAAAAGACCTTCTGATTAGATGCTAGGTCAGATCTGAGAAAAGGCACTCAATGGCACTCAATCCCTGGAGATGGTGGAGGCAAGGACTGTTGTAAACCTTCCTGTGGGGAGCCCTTCTTTCTCCACGGGCCCACTGGTGGTCATGAAAACATGACACCTCTGTTCTTTGCCTCCTTCTGATTTTTCTTTCCTGCTTTTAGGTGAAGGAATATTGGAGATGTTATAAGCCCTTGAGCTTCAAAAGCACAAAGACAGCCACCAGAGGCCCAGGAAATGGAGGCCTAGGAAATATCAGAGTTGGCCAGTAATAAAAACAGGTGAGGCACCAACAAATTCTTGAGTTTGACTCAGGTTAGCCTATAGCAAGGGAGTCATTCTGTACAGCATCTGTACCACACTCAGAAATGAACATGGTTCTGGTGAATGCTTTATAGCAACTGCCTTAAGTTTGAATCCACTCTCCCTGGTGACCATGGCAATAGAGTCTGGGACATACCCTTCTCCATCCCAGTGTTGGAAGGATGCTTTGTAGTGTCCACTGATACTGTATCTTCTCGGTTAATGTGTCTTTCTAAAAGTTAATTGATGTTATTTGGCTAAATAATCTAATCATTGGGTCAATCAGTGATATAGGGGAGATGCTGACTGTAATCAGAAAATTCTATTGGGAAGAATACACAAAATGGTGGCTCAGGCAGAGAGCTTTAGACAAAATCCCACTATATCTCAGGGGTATCTCTTAGAACCTTGTGTGCAATATGTAGCTGGGGGCCTAACTCATTAGTATGAGTGGGAATTGGGGTATGAGCCCAGGGCTTATGTGGTATGCACATATATAATACATATCACACATACGTGACTTTTACCTTAGAAAACAGTGTTGAGTCGGTTTTGTTTCTACTCATAAAGAATGTGATAACACAGTACTGTTTTCAGAATAGGTGTTCATCAGACACTTGATGATGGAATGAGATAAATTATGAGGTCAACAGACCATGGAATGATCAACACAGATAACAAAGGAGGAACTGAACAGTATCTGTTTGAAAACATAAGATATTAGCTATATTTAAATACCTCACAGTGATGAAAGGCAGCATGACCTGGTGGACAGATAGCTAGCTTCAGAGTCAGGAAGATGGGGGTGCAAGTTCACTCTCTACATAAGGTGGTTGTGGTGACCCCGGGCAAGTGGATAAACCTCTGGGTGCTCTGGGCAATATGTTGCAGAGAAGGTGTCAACTTGCACTGGTATAGGCAGTTTCCTTATCTGGGGGTTCCCTATACCAGTGAAATCCCTGGTCTAATCCTTATTTCCCCCAATCCTGAAAATCCATTATTACATAATGAAAATGATGTTTAGCATTTATATAGCACTTTAATGTTTGCAAAGCACTTTACAAACATCTCATTTGATCCTCACAACCACCCTGAGAGGTAGGTGCTATTATTAACTCCAATTTACAGATGGGGAAACTGAGGCACAACGAAGGTAAATGACTTGCCCAGAGTCACACAGCTAGTAAGTATCTGAAGTCAGATTTATACTCAGATTTCCTGACTCCAAGTCCAATGCGCTATCTACTGTACCACCTAGCTAAGTACCTTTTCAATTTACACCAATGAGAACTACCGCCATGCTTTAAAAGATGGCTTTAGTAGCAGGTGGGGCCAAAGAGATGCTTGGAAATGTGTCGTCTGGTGGTCAAACTCCTGGAGACGAGCCCTTTTATGTTTAGCTAGGCTGATCCACAGAAGACGGCCACACAGTTCATGGTTGGGCCGCCCACTCAAATCCTTTCCAACTTGGTGGCTCCTGCCAGATGTGTGCCCTGTTGGCAGAGCTTTGGAGAATCCACAGTTCCCCATAGGCTACCATGAGGGGCCAGAATAGGACTTAATTTGAAGGAATATTTAACGATCAGGATATAACGACAAGGTGGGGAATGAAGAGGGACAATACCTCATGAAGTGGGAATGCAGCTTCATAGGAGCCATTAGTAAGCAATCGATTCAGACCTGGAAAACACAAAATCCATCTTAAATCAAAATAAAGTTTGAATCTTTGGGAATCATGGCTTTAGAGATGAAAAGAATGTTAGGGGTCATCCAGTTCAAACCTCTGATTTTACAAATGAGGAAACTGAGGCTGAGGGTATAGAATTAGATTCAGAGCTAGAAGGAACCTTCAAAGTCTACTGGTCTAACCCCCTCCTCTTACGTTTTGTCTAGAACACGAAGGGATTGGGATAAATAATCTGTAAGGTCCCGTCCAGCTTGAAATCGATGATCCTCTGGTCATACAAAGTCACTTGCCCAAAGCCCCAAGGAAAGAAAGTAGAAGAGGCAGGACTTGGAACCAGAAAGAAGCTGGCAGGCCTCTTAAGCCAACCCTCTCCTCCTATAGATGAGCAAACAAGCACAGAGCAGAGAAGAGACTCACCCAAGGTCACACAGAGGGGATCATATTTAAATGCCAGTCTCCTTATTTTAAAACTATTCCCTTCCACCACACTAAGCTACAAGGGTCAGATTCTCCAATACAGGAGATCCTTTTACTGTCATAGTCAGCACCATGAGCAGCGCCATGCTTTTTGGTTTAGCCTGCAACTTTTCTCTTTTCCACTCTGTTATCATGAGATGTTTGAAGCACTGACATTTTTGCAGCAAGTCTCTTCTCAACTCCTGAGTAGGAGACCCACCTATGACAAATATTGGGGGTGTTAACTCCTTTAACCTCTCAGTGCTCTCAGCATCTAAGACCATAAGTTGCAAAGATGCCAATCTGCACTAGCAGAGCGTTTCCTCTTCTGGGAGCTTCCTGTGTGAATGAAGTCATAGACACAGTCTCTATTCTTCTTCTAAGTAAGATGTCCATGGGCAGTTGCCTCCTTCAGACATGTATCAGGGGTGCTCTCATCTTGTACCTAACCTTGTTTGAGGTATGAAAAAGTACTTTTTTGGGGGGTGTAATCTCTAAACAGACAAGGATCATAGGATTAAGGATTAGAGGATCATGGGATCTGGAGAAGGAAAAAACCTTAGAGAATTTGAATTATTGATCTCCCATTAGAGAGAGAGTAGATCTGCATCTTTGAAAATCCCATATCATCAAGCCATACTCTTAATGCATTTTAACTCTTTTGGTGAAGAGTTCATGAATGTTTCTTGGGAATTTTTATGAGGAATTATGAGGAAAAGGTTGAGAATTCCAACTCTTCATAATAATTGTAGATAACAAGTTGATTTAGAATTAGGAAACTGAGTGGTGTAATTAAAAGAACACTGAATTTAGATTGAGAAGACCTAAATTTGAATCCTTACTTTCTTACTTACCATCCAATGTTTATGAGTTGTGTGACATGGGGCAGGTCACTTAATCCTGCTAAGCCTCAGATTTCTCATCTTCAGAATGAGGAGTTGATGAACTGTAAGGTCCCTTTAGCTCTCCCTCTGTGCTCCTGTAGTTTATGACTTATTAACTATATGACTCTGGACAAGTCATAGAACCTGTTGTGCCACAGTTTCCTCATTTGTAAAATGGGAATAATAATAATTACAATGCTATCTTCATGCATTTGTTGTCAGCAGCAGATGAGATGATGTAGGGAAAGTGCTTTGGAAACATGAAAACGCTCATATCAATCAGCTCTTACTACCACTAAAATAAGAGCCACAGCAACAACTGCTAGTACAGCTACTACTAAAATTAGTGCTACTACTTCCAATACTACTAGAACTAGTACTACTACTTCTACTACTATTACTACAGCTGGTATTACTACTACTTCTATTACTACTACAACTAGTACTACTACTATGTCTACTACTGCTATAACTAGTACTATGACTTTTACTACTACTTCAACTAATATTACTACTTCTGCTGCTGCTGCTGCTGCTACTACCACTACTACTACTACTACTACCACTACCACTACTACTACTACTACTACTACTACTACTACTACTACTACTACTTCTACTGAGTAGATCATTCCTCTAATCTGGCAGATAAATGAGACATTGCCATATAAAAGAAGACAGCTTGAGAGACATTGCAAATCATAAAATCATCCAGAGAAGAATTCTTCCTCCTGTGAGTAGGCTTTGACAATCAGTGGCATTTCTCAAGTTCACCCACCAGTTCCATCTAGGCTAAGTGATTCAGATGGAATACTTACCAATTTTGTTTTTTCCTTCTTCGTATTTAATTCTTTGTAAAATGTGATGCACGATCCTACTTCTGGTGGCGTTGTTGAAGAAAGTGTCTTTGTTGTGAATGATGAAGCTACACGTACACACATAAAGACAGAAGTTCGAGGCATTAATTACAGGCGAGGGTACGAAGACCACCCCAGCTGTTTAGCTGGAACACAAAGGGGAGAACCTTTAAATTGACTTGAATGTCTTTTATATGAACTTATATGAGACTGTGAGGTCTCCTCTGGTAGAAGGGACACTCCTTTAGGGCAGAGATTGGTTCATTCATCTTTGAAGCCCTTTCACCCAGCACAGTTTGTGGCATACAGTAGAGGTTTAATACATGCATACTGATTGACTGACACTCTATGTATACGTTATCCCTAATAAAAGCTAAATCCCTTGGGGGACAGGTAACATTTCATTTATTTTTTTTTTGTGTCTACCATATCTACCATAGTGCCTGGCACATAGTAGGCACTTAAATGTTCACTTATTAGTTGATTGTCAGAAAATGTAAGCTTCCTGAGGGAAGGGAATGCTTCATTTTCGTACCTGTACCTTGGCACTGATCGCAGTGTCTAGGACATTTGTTGTTGTTCATTTTAGTCATGTCCAACTCTCTGTGACCCCGTTGGGGGATTTCTTGGCAGAGATACTGGTTTGCCATTTCCTTCTCCAGTTCATTTTACAGATGAGGAAACTGAGGCAAACAGAGTCAGGCGACTTGCACAGGGTCACTCAGCTAGGAAGTGTCTGAGGCCAGATGTGAACTTAGGAAGATGAATCTTCCTGACTTCAGGCCCGGCGCTTTATCCACTGAGCCAGTCTAGCAGGTGTTTATTAAATGTCTGCTGACTGAATGATTGATCTGAGAATGAACAAGGGTTAACATGATGCAACCTGATCCAATACCAAAGAAATAAATACATAATAGTAATAAAGCCACACTCCAGGCTGACGTCCTTAGTGCAGGGTCTCCAGATCCAGAAGGGATTTTAGAGATCACCTTCTCCAACCCCCACATTTTCCAGATGAGGAAACTGAGGCTCAGAGAAGAAAAGTCACTGGCCCAAAGTCACGTGGTCAGGACCATAGGATCATCGGTGTAAAACCGGAAGAGACTCTAGGAGTCCTCTAGTCCAGCCCTCTCCAACTAAAGCCTAGAGCAGTTAAAGGACTTCCCTAAAATCATGGCAGTAGAAAACAGCGGCATCTGGATTTGAAGTCAGGGTCTGTAACTTTGAGTTCAGTATTTTCTCCACTGTATCCACCAAGACTCACAATCTGGGCCATTAATTCCAAATGTTAGATAATTAAAAAAACAAAAATAAAATCACACTTCATTTCTCAGCAGGAACACTAAGTTAAATCAACCCAAAAATATCTAATTAAAAAAAAAAAACTCCCCCAGAAAATTTTAGGAAAACACATCTCTCAGCATCTCAGACCCAGGAACATTTTGTAAAAAAAAAAAAATGAAATTAATAATAATGTTAGAGACTAGGAACTTCATTTGTTAGAGGATCAAGTTGGGAAATATGCCCTAGGCTGACTTCTGGAGGTGGAGTGGAGGATGAATTCAGACAATTTCCTCTGTCTCTCTCAGAGGTTCTCTCCTCAGACTCAGGAAACACCTGTTCTGTCAGAGCCAGGGACTTTCAGGGTTGCCATTGATGGCATTTTTCTGAGCCGCTACTTTATGATTTGTGGGTCGATTGGTGGAATTGCTTTAGAAGTCAGAAGTAATTCAGAAATTAATTACCTAACGTTTGAAATCATAAATCAAGTATTTGTTATGTTCCTGCAATGGGGCAGACATTGGTGCTGGGGTTTGGGGATACAAGTGAAAGCTCCAGGACAGCCTGGGGGGCCCACATGGCCAGTTGGGCTCCCCGGAAAGCCTGGGAGCAGCAGGGAATCAGTGCTTCTCCTCCTCCTGCCCAAGGGTATCCTTATTGGCACCAATGGTGCTGGGAAAGCTCAGATTAACTCATGATGCTGAGGGAAGCAAGCAGGAGGCCTGTTTACACCATAACAACAATACTGTGAGACCCAACTCTGCATAGCTGAAGGGCTCTGACTGATACCATGACCAACCATGGCTCTGGAAGACCAGGGAGAAGTAGCGCCACCTATATCCGGAGGGACTCAGGATGCAAAATGAGGTGCACGTCTCTGGACATGGCCCATGTGGGAAACTATTTTGCTTGACTGTGTATTTGTCGTGATGCTTTTGTTTTCCTTTTCTTTTTCCCATGGAAGTGGGGAGAGGGAGGTAGAAAAAAGAGCAAACAAATACTTGTTAATTAAAAACATAAATGATATTTAATTTAAAATACTCATGGGAGTCAAAACACTGGGAAATTACGAGGGATCACTGGAATAACTAGGGAAATTCATGGTGTGAGGACCTGGATTCAAATCCTTCCTCTGATGTGTGTGACTTGTGGAATCTTGGGTAATCTACTCAGCTTCACTGGGCCTCAGTTTATTTACTGGTAAAAATGAAGGTGTCAGACTTGGTGGAGTCTAATGTCTCTTCTAGGTTTAAATCTATTAATTCCGTGCCTGAGACCATGGCCTGAGACCAACTCTCCCCATCCTGTCATTCCTGGAGAGAATCCAAGTGGGAAAAGAGCTGAGTAACTGTCTCTGCTAACAGAACAGCCGATGCCTCCTTGGTAGACATGTCTACTGATGACCCAGAAAAGAAATTTAGCATTGTCCTGAGCAATGTTAAATTATTCAATGGTAGAAATGGTTTTAATCAGTAGGATTGACTCTAAAGGAGAAATGTTTGTATATCTTCTTTATTTCCTTTCTCTATTCTAACCAAAAGAAATTATTTACCACTAGAACAATTGAGCTTTACTATCTGGCCTACTGGTATACCTTGAGTATTGGGGGCTTACACACCCAGTCTGCTGCTGAACCCTAGTACAGGGGTACTTATCATTTCTGGTGTCATAGCTCCCTTTGGCAGTCTGGTGAAGCCTACGGTCCTCTTTGCAGAGCAATGCCGGTGAGCGTGAATGAAGCACCTACTGAGCGCCAGGCTGGGGGCGGGGGGAGAGACTCAAAAATGTGACCGTTCCCCTGGAAAAGCTCCTGAGACCATGTCTTGGGACTGCAGGGGAGGAAGGGGAAATGCAGACGTATTCTCAGATGAGACAACTTTGGTTTTATGCCCTTAGCTTCTTCTTCTTATCTGAGACACATCGTTACATTTTAATGCCAAATAAAGCAGCCGAGATAACAAATAAGGAGGCCTCTTTGATTCGCTGGGCAGGGTAATACCTGTAGCCTGATAAGTGAGACTGTACTGGAAAGACAATTGGAAGCTAAAGGCCCACTTTTAAAGTTCAGTTAGACTGCCTCTCCTTCCTTGTCTCTTAATAGGGCTACACTGACTTGCTCTTGCCAAGGTTCACCATCACGCATTAGGTTACACTCAACAGCAATGATGGGCTGTGATAGAGCTTAATGCTTCTATAACGTGGGCAGGTCACTTCACTGCGCTGAGCTCAGGTGCTTCGTCTGTAAAATAAGGGAAGCGAATTATGTGGCCTCTGACCTCCCTTCCAGGTCCAGCGACCTGAATGCCAATCCTACCTCTGCTTCTTGGTCACAGAGCAAACTCAAAGGAATCTGCCCTGCCCGTGCACATAAGAAACAGCAAGTGGATGAGGAATGTCTATATTCCAGAATCCACCATGTATCTGGATCAATACCCTATGGATCTTATCCAATAGTATGTATATCTGGGATAGTCAGCAGAGATGGAAAATGAGTTATGTCTCGAGCTGGACGGGAGAGGGAGAGTGAGCTAAGTTTCTTTGGGGAAACTGCCGAGCTTCTTTGACGACACCATGCTTCCCTTGAAAGTGAAGTCTCGTTTTCCCAATTCTGTTGCTAGATGGCAGCAAGAAATGGAACACTCCTGCCTTTGAAGAATTAAATAAGAGTAAGTATCACACAGAGCAGCGGGAGCAATGAGAGAGGGGGTGGGGTCAAGATGCTTCATGAACTATGAAGAAGGACTACAAAGTTAGGGATGTCACCCAGCAATACCACGACGGGAGGAGAAGATGGGCTAGTCCTATGTCAGGAGTGAATGGATAGACCCGACCCAGAGCTCCACTGGTACAACTTCTAGAGAGAGTGGGGGGAATCTCCAATATGCTGGGTGGACCCTTTCCAGCAAACTGAGGAGAGAACAAAGATAAGAGTTGCACGGATGGGGAGGCATAGCGAGGGAGTGATCTGTATGGCTAAAAGGAACTCGTGAATTGATGAGATCACAAATCCATGTGAGTATCTACATATGACTTGCAAATGATTTCCCTAGAATAACCATGTAAAGAATTATGTTATTTTACGGATGAAAAAACTGAGTCCCAATGAAGTACAATGACTTGTTTATGGTCATGAGCTTGTGCTACAGCTGGGACTTGAACATGGGCTTTAAACACTCAAAAGTGCAAAGGTCTTACCAGTGTACCACACTGCCTCTCTCCCCATGCACACATGAGATAAATCTGACCCGTGCTACCAGAGAAACTACTTGTGGGGAAGGGAGGGTGAATGAGCAAGTCACCTACCTGAGCCTTCCATGACCAGGCAGAGCCCAGACACCACTCCTTCACCCACTTTACCACCCAATATCCTGGACCCAACTCTACTCCAGGTCCCAGCTGGGAGGTTGATTTCTCAGGGGTAGAGTTACTCTTGTTTACTGGGAAGAAACACATGTCCTAAGGCTAGCAAACTCCATTTTCCTCCTCCTCCCCTCCAAAATCAGGGATTTATACTCAAAGGCGGAATTTTGTTGAAAACTTCAAGATGAAGAAGAACCTAAGACGTGATTCAGGCCATTAACCACCAGAGGACAAATGATGCCTCCTGAAGGAATCTAGAAAGCTTTTGAAAAGAGTATTAAGTGCAAACAAGTATTAAGGCAAACAAACAAACAACAAACAGAAAATAACCAAAAAACAAAGTCACTATCTTAGGTCTGGGCTTCTTAACCTCTTTTGTATCATGAATCACTTGGCCCATCAGGGGAAGCCTATGGATCCTTTTTCA